ACACACACACACACACACACACACATATGTATGTATATATATATGTGTGTGTATATATATATATGTATTTACTGTGGTAGCTGAACATAAGAATGCATGTAAAGTTTATCCATCACTCTACTGAACATTTTCGCATAATAAATCTTTAAAATATGTTATAAAATCACTAACTCCATCAAATAAATTATCCTGCACCTAGCTCTATTACCTAGTTAATAGTTGGTTATTGTGAGCCAATATTACTAAAAGCTATCGTGGAATGTTCTAAAAGCCACTCTTTCTTCAGGTGCTGCAGGTTGTATATAATGCGCCAAACCGAATGAAAATGCGGATGAGTGACGACACAGCTTACTCATTCGGTCGCGCGCACAATTTTTCCTGATCTGTCTCGCTTGTTTCTTCCAGCCTTTGTCCACCTTGGCGCTACAATGTTTTAGACCTTACCTGACACCTGCTGGCAGAAGATACTTTAAGGTTTAGTCGTAATAATTTATTGGCTCATAGCTCATTTCAGTAACAAGAAATTTCACAGTGCCAAACATGAATAGAAAAACAGTAGTGCATTGCATTGTGGCACAGTAATGAGAAAAAGTTGGATAACCACTTAATGGAATTCATTTTTAGCATTATTATTACTTTTATTATCATTATTACTACCATGCATATTAATAACGAACAGCTGCGTTTTGTTTGGTTAAATTTGTTAATAATTACCTTAGTCAGTAAATTCTTTGCGACTAAATATCCATAATGATAATGGCCATTATAAACAAACAAACAAAAAAATAAAATAACATAAAGAAATTAAAGCTTTAGCACACGAGTAAAGAACTCACCGTCCGCAGTAAAACCTTTTAGAGGAATAACTAATAAACTAGACGCTGATCGGTTTTATCCGGTAACACCACCTTCTAGGTCAGCTGATGTGTTGCCTGTCAAACTGACTTTGAAAGCAATTTTTTTTGTTTTTTTTTCAGCTTTTGGAAACGTTTTTTTTTTTTTTTTTTTCCTCCCCAACAGCAGATCATCCAAACTGTCATTCAAGTATGTTAAAGAGCGAGTCATATGATTATTTATCCAGGGCTTTTATCTCTGTGATCAGATTATTGATCAGTTATTTGCAGAACATTGGAGCTGCCTTCCTTTATCTCTCTCAATTGCTTCTTTCACTTCTTTACTACGAGTATGAGGGCCAGGCAGGTTACCTTTTTTTTTTTTTTTTTTTTTTTTTTTTTGTAAAGTTACAAGGGGGAACAGATTAAAGTAGGTCACCTGTCCCTGCTAAAATGTATTCCCCCTGTCTAAATCGGACAGAAATGGACCTAGCTTTCCTGAAACTTTGGAGGTGATAGCGCTTTTTTGTGTACTGTTACAAGAGGGAACACATTTAAGCAGCCTGTTTTGCCCTGCTTTAATCTGTTCCCCAGTAAACCAATCAGATCATCAAAGCTGGAGGAAATCCGTCAGTCTACACGAAATGATACTGAACTTCAAAAAGTAAAGAAGTTTATCAGAAAAGGGTGGCCTCGCCATATGACAGAAGACTCACTAATTCACGGATACTTTGCCAGTGGTCCATGGCAGAAAATTAGAGTTGACCTGTTTGAACAACAGGGTAAGACGTATATCATTTCTGTTGATCATTTTTCATTGAAATCACTTTTATGAGTTACCATTCCACACCGGTAGCAGTGACAGGTTGCAGTCCAGCACAACTACTGACTGGTCGACAGATCAGCACCTGTAATGCCAAGCGCAGTAAACCTGGGACCAAGTTTAAATGAAACATGCAGGTTAAAGATTGTTACAGATTATTCTACAACTGTAGGCATTCAGCTCGCCCGCTTCCAGAGCTTCTCCCTGGTCAAAATGTGAGAGTGAAACTTGATGGAGCAGTGCATGTCGCAACTGGTCTCGGCTTCAAGGACTCACCTTCAGGAGGTTTATTTTTGTTTTGTTTTGTTTTTTTGGTTCTGAATGGACCCAGAGAGGAAGAGGTTCGGATTCTGAACAGACCCAGAGAGAAGAAGATTCTGGTTCTAAATGGAGGATGTTCTGGGTCTGGACGAACCCAGAGAGGAGGAGGAGGTTCTACATGGACCCAGATAGGAAAAGGCTCGGGTTCTGAATGGACCCAGAGAGGAAGAGGTCCGGGTTCTGAATGGACCCAGAGAGAAGGAGATTCGGTTCTAAATGGACCCAGAGAGGAGGAGGTTCTGGTTCTGAACGCACCCAGAGAGGAGCATGTTTGGGTTCTGAGTGGACTCAGAGAGGAAGAGGTCCGGGTTTGAAATGGACCCAGAGAGGAGATTCGGTTCTAAATGGACCCAGAGAGGAGGATGTTCTGGTTCTGAACACACCCAGAGAGGAGCATGTTTGGGTTCTGAACGGACCCAGAGAGGAGGATGTTCAGGTTCTGAGTGGACCCAGAGAGGAAGAGGTCCGGATTTTGAATGGACCCAGAGAGAAGGAGATTCGGTTCTAAATGGACCCAGAGAGGATGAGGTTCTGGTTCTGAACGCACCCAGAGAGGAGCATGTTTGGGTTCTGAACGGACCCAGAGAGGAAGAGGTCCGGATTTTGAATGGACCCAGAGAGAAGGAGATTCGGTTCTAAATGGACCCAGAGAGGAGGAGGTTCTGGTTCTGAACGCACCCAGAGAGGAGGATGTTCAGGTTCTGAATGGACCCAGAGAGGAGGAGGTTCTGGTTCTGAACGCACCCAGAGAGGAGGATGTTCAGGTTCTGAATGGACCCAGAGAGGGGGATGTTCTGGTTCTGAACGGACCCAGAGAGGAGGATGTTCGGGTTCTGAACGGACCCAGAGAGGAGGATGTTCGGGTTCTGAACGGACCCAGAGAGGAGGATGTTCGGGTTCTGAACGGACCCAGAGAGGAGGACGTTCTGGTTCTGAACGGACCCAGAGAGGAAGAGGTTTAGGTTCTGAATGGACCCAGAGAGGAAGAGGTTTAGGTTCTGAATGGACCCAGAGAGGAAGAGGTTTGGGTTCTGAAGGGCCCGGTCATTAGATTGTCACAAGTAAAGAGCAACGAAATTAACTCTCTGCATTAATCCAGAGGGGAGCAGTGGGCTGCCATTGTGTGGCAGCCATGGGGCAGTGTCAGGGTTAAGGGTCTTGCTCAGGGAGCCAGAGTGGCAGTCCATGGGAGTGGTGCTTGAACTCAGAACCTCAGGATTCAAAGCGCAATGCCCTAACCACTAGGCTGCCACTCCCCAAAGTAGGCATTACCATGAGGGTCATGCCTAAGGAGCCACACTGGCAGCTCATTCCCCCAGCAGGGATACGACCCCAGGCTTGACTTACCACCTGAGCTAGTCAGCTGCTAAGATTCCTGCAACTGATGTTCCTGTAGCACAACATTTGGCTGATTGCAGTACCATAGCAGAACTGCAGATCCCCAGCTGGGGTGAACATTCCATCTGAACCACCATCATATCAGCCTGTAGGGAGCTTTTCTTCAGAATGCTCCCTCCCACCATCCACTCTTGTGAGAACGACTTCCAGGGGACGTGAGATAAGACTGCCTTCGAGATTTAGAGACTATAAGATTTAAAAGGGCATAATAATCCCTATAAGGGCTGATAGGGATTATTATGCATCACCCCTGTGATGTCCTGTAATGTTCCATGTGAAATTGTTAAGGCTGTATTTAAAAAAAATGTAAAATGTGAAAGCCTTCAAGTGCTATGTTAGAAAAGCCTTTGTAAACGAATGCTTTATGTAGTATCAGCTAAGACATTGAAATGTTATTGCAATGTTTAACTTTAGAGAAAGGAGATTTTTTTAGATGAGTTCTACTCTATATGTAGAGTAACAGTAGTTCAGCTTAGAAAGATGTTTTTATTATAAAATAACAGTTAATTAAATTGTATTTATCAGATTAGCACGGTGGACATTAATCAACATTACCACCATTTTTTTTCAAATAAAAGCTTCCTCTGTATAGATTGAGGATTTAAATGAATTTGGCTCACATGACAAAATGTTTCAATAATCCTGAGTGTGGTAGTTTAATTTGGGACAAGAATTTCTGGGTTTTACCAGCACTGCCGCTGATGATTACCACAAACAAGATGGTTGTCATACAATTATTATGGGTAAATAAAAAGCTCCAAAAAGATTTACAAGGTTCAAGAGGTCAAAGGGCTATAATTAGGTTGCTATTTAACATAAAATTTTGATTTTAAAATAAAACTTGATTAATAGAAGTCAATAAATTATAGGGGTTTTATGAAACAGAACAACACTGACGTGTTTGCCTGCCATTTATTTTGGAGGCTTAGTTCTCACAAATGCAGACTAAACCACAAGTCCATGAAACGTGCCAGTAAAGTTAAGATTACGCTTTCTCTTTCATTCTAAAGCTGGGATTTTATAATCGTCAAGTGATTTTCAAAACTTATGAGGATATAAAAAACAAAAACAGCAAAAAAACTGTTTTGTCATACATTCTTTAGAGCCACAAAACATGCATATCATACCACACGTGAGCCGATTTCCCTTACAACATTTAGCTGATTAGAGTCCTACACTGGGTTGGGCACAGCAGGTACCCATAGTCAATTTTGGGGAATGGGGTATTGGGGCTGGGATTGGAAAATTAGAGGGTTGCGGAATGGTTGGGCAGCTGGGGGGCCCCCGGTCCAGGTTGTGGTGTGAACCTCTGTACAGGAGTGCATGACCATAGTGCATGTATATAGTCATCTGGTGCATTGCTTTAGCATTGCAAGCTGATATCAGACTGCAAAACTAATCTTAACATCTGTTAGCCTGTATAACATACTCTATGATGGATTTTGTGTTGAATTTGTTCTAAATTAAATCTGACATTATTTATACCATACATTTTGACTAGGCCAAACTGATAAATCATTTTTCCATTTTCCATTGGGAAGTAATATAGATTAATCTATTCTGGATAAACTCCTATATAATATGGACAGTATTTTGGGGGATTAATGTTTAGTAAATCCTCTATATTTGGTGGCATTTGTAGACCTGCTTCATTACATCTTAAATCTTTTATTACAGACCTTAACTATTGATATTCTAGAAATTCTTTTTTTTTTTGTCTAAATCCCATACTGATTTAAAAAAATAAGAGGTAAGAGTCTTAGCCTCACTAGAAATGACACATTTTCTAGTGTTATCCAATCAGGGCTCTCTCTACCTACCTCAATAGACGGAGGCTCAAACCTCAACAAGGATTTCTCATCGACAATGACCGGCAGTGTCCTGCTTCTCCACAGCAGAGGGGAGATCACGCACAAACATGGCTCAACAGCCGATTAATGCGCCACATACTCATGAAATCATGTTCATTTTGGTGCATATTTAACGACTACATTAGTGAAGTTCACAAATGTATTTTTTATCAATATTACAAAATTGACATGTGAGGTTTAGTATCTTACCCAGTTTTAAATGAGAAATTGCCGCTGACGTACACTCTAGCTAAGCTGTGGTAGTTTGTCACCTTTATACCAGTGCTTACTTTGATTTAATGTTTAGTAACTTGAAATTATAAACCAAGCTATTGACATGTACAGGTGGTCAAGACAACCTGGGTTTCCCAGCAAAATTCAGACATTTAAATATTTGCTACCAAGAAGTAGTCCTGATTTAATAAAAAACAAATTTGTTGCAGCTCTTAGATTCTCACAACTTTTAGATGATTTGTATCAATTGCTCTTAGGGGAGAATAGTGATTGTAGAACTTGAACAGTTTCTAAAGTGGAGGATGTGCTGCTTTAAAGGTCTGTGTTGAATTCCGTATATTGTGTGGCACAAACCAGGCAAGACTGATAACATTGTTGTGCACAAGAAGTAATTAACCCATTTTTTTAAACCAATGAAGGGGTATGTAAACCAGTCAGGAGTTAGAAATTATTTTTCAGTCAGATGTGAGAAAATATCTCAATCTCAAGAAATGTTCTGCTCTGAAAGGATAATAAAAACAGAATGAGGCACAAAAAGAGATATCAGCATCACCCACAATGTCATGTGAGGCAAGAACATCTATTTTACCAGCTGCAAATGAGAAGTACACCCAGTTAGAACTCACCGCACTCGGATGCAAATAGATTCAGAGGTAATCCACAAGTTCCTGTTTCTGCCTATGTTCCTAAAAACGGACTGACTTCATATACTTTTGCTTTTCATCTACCGTGTGAACAAAATGTTCATATAGATCAGGAGTGCAGAATGCTGTTGTTGTAGAGGGCTGTTTTAAGTTGATCAACAGTAGACTCTGCTTCGCTCTTATTAGGCCTTGCAGACTGGAGAATAACTCTCTGTTTTTATCTGAAACAAAAAAAATCTTTTACAGGTTAATACTCACATGGACGAATGATATAGCCAAGACTGTAAAATGGGTTTGACATATTTCACAGCTTCAGCCCTTACAGGGTAAAGTGTCTGACATGGGTGATTATCTGATTTAGATATGCAAACACTGGTTTACAGTCCATAATAAGCCCAGAGGTGATGGGGAGCTTCAAACCACAATGGCTGTGAAGAAATCTATTTAAGGTAATAATAATAAATAAATAACTAAAAATAAAAAAAAAAATCTTTAAAAAGAGAACCACTTCCACATTTCTTAGACTGTGCTCTGTAATCAGAACATCCAAATACAAGCAAAGGTATTGGGTACTGAATGTAAAAGTTTAGAAAAAAAAATCCTCAGTCACGTTTCTGTGGGCACTTTCCTCATATTTCTTTGCATTTAGTGGCAAACACTAAATTTTAAATCTATTTTAGCCTAATTCTCCCAGGTATTTTTGCAGATGACATGACTGTCTTGTACTGGAGAATGGAGATATACAGAGTAAAAAGAAAGAATGATAGTGCCGTCCACTGTGGTACTCCTGTGCTGTTAACTTCAGTCTAACAAACTGTGGTCTGTTTGTCAGGTAGTCTTTGATCCAGAAGATTGTTGATGCCTCTACTAGAGTCTTCTGGTGTTTCTCACAAAGAAAGAAAGGCTGAATTGTGTTAAATGTGCTGGAGAAATTAAAGAACACGATCCTCACAGTGCTGTCTGCCTTGACTCCAGAAAGAAAAATAGCATCACTGTTGAACTATTAATATCTTCCACCCCATGCATGAAGCTGATTCAGTGAAAGACCGGTGCACAAGCACCCAAGACACACAAAGGAGCGCTCCTGCAGATCCGTCCTCCCAGTGGTTGTTGAACTTCATAATCTTTGTTTCTCCAAACAGGCCCAATGGGTGATCACAGTCATAGTATTAGTTGGACAGATTCTTTATCTGATCAATAATGGGGGGTTTTCTCATGCATACATTAATTTGCACTGTAATTATTAGTCTGCTTATTAAGCGTCTGTATACATCATTTCTTTTAAACTTGAAAATTGAACAGACAACCACCCTGTCCTCTGTTTTCTGAGCTGTTTTTTTCTTTATCCTTTAAAATTTGGGTCTTTATTGTATTATGTAGTCTTGTGGGTACCTGTGAGCTTTCATTTGTCTACTTGTTTTTGCCACTGTCACACCTGTTTCCCCATTGTTTGACAGTAAAATTATTTTTATTTTCAGTCTGACTGAAATCGGTATCTGTCTAAAGTTTGTCAAAAACAAAATAAATGCTTTGAAGTTTTGTTTTTTTCAGGTCCACTGCGTTGATAAAGGATGTATTGATTCTCTGTCCACTGCTTGTGACACTCCCTCGAATTCTTTATTTGGGTATTGCTTGTCTTTCTGTTGTTGGGGAACCTTTTCCCGCAACACTTTTTCCTTCTACCTAACTTTACATGAATATGCTTGGATCTTTTATCTTTTTTGCAATATTTTATGGCTTACTGTCCTTGTGCAGTTTTTAAACTTTAGTACTTTCCCTTTAACTCTCCAATGTAAGGGCTTAAAATGTGTGATGACATCTATGAGCTTTACTTTCAAAAACAACTGACATTAAACCATAATATTTTAACATATTACAGTTGTTTTAGATGCATCTTGATCACAAACACCTTTAGTGCTGACTAAGCTCCCTCTAGTGGTAAGCAGATAAAACCTGAGCTTTCACAGTAATCCATGGCAGTTGTTTTCACTGAAGAGCTTATAGTGCTAGTAGAGTTGTTCCAAAAGAAATCCATGACCAAGAAAAGATAGGATCTTTCAGATGGGTTGTATATTTCTGACCACTGCAGAAATTTACATTAGATTGATCGGGAAAATGTCTGCAGGGTCTTATTTCAGGGGGGTTGTTTATTGTGTGATTATTTCACACCATTTTAGATCTCAAAGCCGCACATATCTGGGATGCTACATATCGATCAAACCGTTCTCTTCCTGGTTCTGGTTTTACTGCTTTGGTTTAAGAACAAAAAGTATACATTTGTTAAGAAATGTGAATAAAGAAAATCTATTCTCACAATAGAAAGTAATTTACGCACAAAACAGATACTGCCAGTAAAAGTTGACTGAATCAAACTATATATATATATATATATATATATATATATATATGGCAGATATTTATCAAACAAATAAACAGTTGTTGTAACTGAAAACACACAGACTTAAAAAATAGCTTTTATTTGGCAGGTAAACATTGCAGTGTTGGTAAAAGTGGTGATGTTCAGACATCAAACATGGTTAAGCTCCAGTGAGTCCAGCGCTAGGCTCGGTAAATGCTAGCTGAAGGAGATGACTGTGTTTTCTGTGGGGGACAGGGTTTGATTCAGTGGAGGCCATGATGTGGATTCAGAGAGCAGAGCCTTCAGGCGTTTGTACTGTTTTTTGGATGGACGGCTCCCTCGCAGCGACCGTAGGCAGTTCAAAACGCCCAAATCTATCAGCAGCTGGAGGAGAGGGAAAAAAACATTCATGTTTATTAAATCATTACGAATTTTATACCTGTTCTAAGCTGTAAGCAGTCTAATTTTTTTTAATGCTATTCTTCATTTAGATTTGCATATTTTGTCAAACTGGGACAAATATTATCCCAGTAATAATAAAAAAAAACCTATTGATATGTAAAACATGATCAGAACATTACAGAAGCTACTGTAGCTTATACAGTTTTCCAGTGAGCCCTTTTAAAAGCCTCACTGACCAGATTACAGTAGGTTTAGTCTGTTCATCAGTTTGGGGGGGAAATGATAGCAAACTTTGCTGTGACAGCAGGACAGGACATTTCCCCTGTCCCAGAATGCTACCTTTGGACAGATTTTTTTTTTTTTTTTACAAACTAGTTTGTAGTCATGTTTACATCAAGAAAATTACACTATAACCCCTGAATGTTATTTTATGTTTATCTCTTTCTTTGTATGCATTAGCAGATGTAAACTGCTAATGCATAGTGAAAGCTACAAATAATTTCAACAATTGTTCAACAAAGTATTAGTTTTAGGATCTGAGGTTGTGGGGAGCTCAGGAAATGATTTTGAAATGTTTTTGTATCGTTTTTAGGGAACAAAGACTTTAAATTTTAACTCAGGTATGTTAATTTTAGAGCCACTGAATGTGTAGCTCGTCTCGGCCTGAACATGTCATCATGAGGAGGTTTTAAGCTGCGTCTCAATTAAGATGCAAAATAAGTTAATTTTCCCTTGATTTGACCAGTTAAGTAAGACAATTTACCAATAGAGTTAACAATGAGGAAATAAAACAGCTTTACCATTTCATTTCAAGTGCATAGTTTCTAATTATCTTATTCTAAGGGCAGAAATACTCTTTCCATTTCCCTGCTTAAAGTACATGCATGATTTTTACTTATTTTTAGATGAGTTTTAGCAGTGTAAATTTGGTCCATAGAGTGAAAGTGATCCCTGATTATTGTTGTGTTAACTCACCTCTACCACAAAACACAACAGGAAGTTGAGAGCAGCAACGGCAACGAGCAGCATCTTAAAGTTCATGTCGGTGAAGTTGTACAGTTCAAATGTTCGTCCGAAGAAGGGACCCGGATACAACACCAGCAATGTCATTATGGCAAAGTGGATCAGCAGCACACAGAGGAAGATCACTGGAAAGAAGATCAAAATCCAGTTTTACAATCAACATGACAAATAAAGAACAGGACGGCTCAAGAGAAGAGTACGGAAGAGATTTTTTAATTTTACTGAAAACTGATTTACTAAAACTGATTTTTTTTTTTATTTCAGTATAACATGAGAAACAAAATTCAGAATTCCGAGCTTAATCTCAGAATTCTGACTTTTTTTTTTTTTTAGAATTCTGACTTTAATCCCAGAATTATGACTGAATTCTGACAGCAAACAAACATGTTAGCATCAAGTTGTAGCCATGTCTGTTTTAGAGACTAAACTAGCTCTCTTGTTTTAATCACCTTCTGCTCTTCCATTACTGAAATAGCATCAGCGGGGACCCATCTGGCACGTAAAAAGTCGCCTAATTCCGCCATTTTCCACCAATTTGTCACTGGCCCTCCCAAACAACTCGCATTTTTGTCAGTGAAGCGTAGTACTCCCACATCTCTTCCTTCATGGTGCCCATCTATATTAAAGTCATAATTCTGAGAAAAAAGTCAGAATTCTGACTTTTTTCCCTTATTAAACCGAAATAATATTTAAAAATCAATTAACGTCTTTTTATTTATTTCAGTGGCCCTAATACTCTTCTGTAGAAGAGATCTGAAATGTCTGTGAATTTCTTTGCTGACTCACCATTATTATAGAGAGGTTTCTTATGGGGAAAGCTCTTAGTGACGACCACTGCCATGATGATATATTGGTAACCCGCTAAAGCAAACACACACGTGTTCTCCATGTTGGGGAGGTTTTCTACTCCAAACACGGTTGAATTTAATGGAATATACCTAAAAAACATAATAAAAAATGTAATTTTTAGTGCCATAATCACAAAAAGTAATTAAACCCCATATAAATAGTAGCAATAGCTTACCATTCCTGGGTGGTGGTGATAAAGAAAGCAGCCAGTTGGCCCAGGATGATCATGCAGGTGTGAATGAAGAGGCTGCCGAACACGGGCAGGGCCAGCAGGCTTGCTGCAGGTCGCCATGGATGCAGCTCCTCACTGGGACCTCCTCTACCCATCACGATGGCCAGCAGAGTCACCAGGAACAGATCACAGAACAGGAACTGCAGGTCACCCATCGTTGTCATCACCTGCAAACAAAGGTAAAGAAATCAATTAAAAACTTCCTGTGGAGTGGAGCGATTAGTTACAAGAACTTTGGAACAATTTTAAAACGGTCTTAAACAGTTAGGTTTAAACATTTGCGGTTATATTTTCTATTAAGTAAGATGTTTGTATAAAAAGACCTGACACAGTAAATCATAACTGGTAGACTAGAAATGAATGGTGTAATAGTGAATCAAATCGGTTCAGATCGATTGATTCCATCATCGGGAAATTGCTATTTTGAGCAAAGATCAAATCTGGGGTTCCTCAGGGCTCCATTCTCAGGCTACTTTATTCCTTACTCACAACACACTCCCCTAGCTTAAGTAATGGAACACAAAAACATCTCTTAACATATTAGTCCTGGTGAAACTCAACTTTATAACTTTTTACCCTGGTATTACTTTATAACACCAATATACCACAAATTTTAACTGTATTTTATGATGTATTTATAATAAAAGGACCATAGTTCAGATTTCTCTTTGAGCAGAAAAGCAGAATGCTATTGTTTTTGGTAACAAAATGGGAAAGCCTAGCATCGTTAAGAAAGCTAAGAAGTATATAAATTCAACCTGTTTGCTTCCTACTATCATTCTAAAAACATAATGTCTAGATAAAGTAATTTAAAGACAAAGACACAATAGTTTCTTGTTAAAAATGGATGAAGGTAAAACATGCATTTAAACAGGATAAATTACTGTAATTGTGTTAATAAAGGCCTCAGTTGAATATAGTTACAGTAAAAATATATTTTCTTATGTTTGATGAATCAAATATGGTTTTGGATTTTATACTCCTAAGCAGTGGAACCAGTAACCTGGAAACCTCAGATCAACAGAAACTCTCAGCTTTGTTTAGTGCAGTTTTCCCACAATGATCAGGTTACCTCAGTGTACCGTAGCATCGCCTTCTTTTACTGTTACTCTTTTAAGAAAACTGCTTTTAATACTTTATTAAAAAAAGAATTTCATTTGAGGAACATATTTTTATCCAGTAATTTCTAGCAACATATGTTGCAAAAAAAACAAACTTTACTGGATAAAAATATTTTTAAAATGTTCCTTAAAGGAAATTATTTAATTAAAGTATCATGGAAATTTGTACCATTAAGCACAGAAAATAAATGTAATGCAACGTAGGCATGAAACTGATTTCTATATTGCATTAAACTCTAAAAGCAATCAGGACAGAACATTCTGTTATACCGAGGAAACTGTGGTTGATTCAAAGACTTTGTTAAAAGTTTGCCTTGAAACTAAAAGAAGAAATGTTTTTTAACAGATTTAAAGCTAAGAAAGTGGAGTTTCTTCATTGTAACTCACTGTGTTCAGGATGAGGACGGAGCAGAACTGGATGAGGCTGTAAAGCGCCATGTATCTAAAGAGACTGAAGGATGTGACCAGAGAACATCGGCCCTCTCTGCGAAAACAAAACCAAACAAATCGAACTTCAAATATCTGAAGTTTTATTGAAACCTTAAACACCTAATCCTCTGTTTTCCTCCCGACTCCTCCTTTAAAAGCCACCTGGATCCTCACCTGATCAGCAGCGGAACACAGCTGATGTTTTCTGTCTTGGAAGTGAAAGGCGAGGCGACCGAGGCCTCGGCCTCAGACAGGGAAACTCCGACGTCGGCGGCTCTCAGGGCGCCGCAGTCATTGGCTCCGTCTCCACACATGCCAACCCGATAGCTGCAGATAATTTTACCATATCAATCAGTTTCATCAATATCCACCAATCAGACATGAGAAAACAGCCCATGGTATGAGTGCATACAGCACCAAATATTGCAGAAATAACAACAAGGCGACTACATTCTAATTATCTTATTCTCTATCATAACTTATATCTTGTTAATTTATTTCTTAGTATCTCTTCCAAGAAAATCCTGATCTTACTTCAACTTCTGCAGCTCTTTTACCAGCTGGGTTTTCTGGTCAGGAGCCATGCGTGCAAATACAGTAGCTTTCATTAAAACCTATAAAAGAACACAGTTATGATATCCCTGGATTCATACGTTCCATGATTGGGAAGCATTTATGGAGAAATTATAAGTTTTATTTTACCTTTGGAAGATATTCAGGGAAGTGGTCACAGAGGGCAGCGAAGGACTTCCCATTAATAGCTAAATGATAGCCGAAACCAGCCTGATACAGGCCCTGAGGGGACAGGGTGGAAAATAAAATAACATTACTAAATAAAAAAATAAAGAATATGCTGTATATGTATATGTTAACATTAATACACAAGAACCCCCCTCCTCAGATTGGTTAAAAAATTATTTCTCTAGTCATCTGAGCAATACTTAATGTGAAGAATGATGCACCCAGTGTGTCAGCAGTGAAAAACTGACCTGATTAATGCCTGCAGGGCTCTGGGTAGCAGTGGGGCCACCATCTTCCACACTGAACCTCAAACTGGGCATGGATTCAGCAGTGCGGGAGGTCGCAATGACAAAAATCACCTTCTCATCAGATCCCACCATCCTACAGCTCTTTGCTACATTCACGGCTGTTAAAATATTGTCCCCTAAGTAATAAGGAACAAACCAAAGAGGGAAAAAAAACGCATAAATTTACTGTCTTAAAAATCATAGCACATTTTTTTTTTATTAACTGTAGCATATTATAGTAGGATCGAATCACAACCTAGAGCAGGGTTCTGCAACCTTTACAATCCAAAGAGTCACTTCTTTCCATCTAATAAAAATTGTTCAGAGAAGCAAACATTACCTAAAAAAATAAAAAAAAAGCTAAATGTTATTTAAAATAAATATCAACTGCAAGAGAGTTTTGTCGTTTTCTACATAAAAAAAAAAAAAATTAATTAAAAAAAAGCCATTTCATATTTTGGATTTTAAAATAAAGGGAAAAAAAACCTATGAAATAGTTTGTTGATATTTTTTGAAAATTATATTTAAAAAAGGTGAAAATATCTATTTCTGTTATAACTAGCGTGAATTTATTTTGTGACTTACAAAAAATTACTTAATTCCTGTTTATAAAACTTGTTTGGAGCCTCAAACATAACTTATAAAAAAAGAAGAGGGACGATAAGTTTAACAAATATCTACAAGTTGCTAATATTTGGAGAGGGGTGTCGATATAGAGCTGCACTTTCAGGACCACTGATCTCTATTTATTCACTGGATTGCTGATTGCCCCAAAAAAGTGAAGCCATCGGCCGCCATATTGGTACTCCCCGCTCCCACAGAGACGCGTAGTAAAAATGTACATGTGTAGCATTTGGCTGCAAAAACAAGCAGTTTGCCGGCTGTGGGGAGTCGTTTTACAGTCTCACTGTCAGTGTCAGTGTGTGCATACATACTTGTTTGTATAGTTTTTTTCAAATGATCAGATTCTTGTTGTAACGAAGAGCAAAAAGCAAAATATGAACTTGATGTTACCGGTTACTTTACCAATTTATGTGCTTCTGCTAGTCTAGAAACTAAGGCTCTGTGGAGTTATTAAATTGGTTAATTAATTTAGCTCTATTGTAAATGTATGTCAGATTTAAAGGCTAATGCAGAGACACAGAATAAAAGTATTTGGTATCATGCATAATTAACAAACAGAAAAATACGAAAACATTAACAGATATGCACTTGTAATTCAGTCTTTATGTAAAATCTTAAAATTATATGTAAGATGTAATTACCATAACAATGTAATAAATACATGTATATTACATGTACATAATCAATTTTAGCACTTTTAGGACATCTGTATTATTATTATATTCCATTAATACATTCATTTTATTGTGATGGATTTGTATAATGTTATATTAAATGATTTATAGACTTCATTGACTTTATAATGATGATGCAATGTGATGTGACTATTTTATCTTTATTTCAAAATCTTAAGCCTCTCTGAAAATGAGAACATCATCATTGTTAGAAGCTGTAGCCCACGTATTGTTTACATTGCTACCAGACTAACTAGGGAGTACCAATATGGCGGTTGGTAGCTTCACTTCAACCCCATACTACCAATGGGTAATTAGCAATTCAGTGAATAAACAGAGATCAGTGGTCAGAACCCAGAGCTGCACTATGAGGACCCTGGCTGAAGTCCCCTGCACTGTTAGAACCAGATGTTTATTCGAAGACTTTCAAAGTAAAAGCGAAGTTGATTTGAAGTCTTTCTAAAGTAAAAGAAGCGTCAATAAACTCGCAGTGAAGCTAGCTTCCTTTCACAAACGAGTGTTGTTGTGCTAGAAACTTATGTACACGCACAATTTTTCTCCCCACCAAACTCCTATCTGGAATAATAGATATGTGCTACATAGAAATAAGTCTCTGTATTTGGATGGCTGGATGGAAAAGGGCATTTGGTCTTTAAGATATTTTCTAAAGAAAAATAGAGGATGGCTGTCCTATGAGGATTTTTGCTTGCTGTGTAATTTAAACTGCTCCTATGCTCAGTTTAACACTGTGATAAATTCTAACCCAGCAGCAAACACGTGCTGAGCGTTATTCCCAAAGGCTTCGAATATAACTTCTGGAATAAACTTCAGGTCCTGACAGCGCAGGAGACCCCATTTTGCAAGGTGTCGTCATCAATTTCAGCCAAAGTGATGAAGCCAATGTTGAGTGTCCAAAGCAGGGGTCACCAACATGGTGCCCGTGGGCACCAAGGGGCCCTCAAGGACCACAAGGGGTGCCCTTAGAGTCTTCTGAAAATAGAACAACTCATCAGTGAGCTACGTTTGAAATTTCACTGTATTCTGTTTCTCTTCTTTTTTTAATTGGGTTATAGAACATTTCATCATTTAATCATATATGGCATTTAAGCATTTATAGAGATTTCAAAAATGAAAATGTCTAAAAGAAAATTATAAATTTAAAGAAACAATAAAGATATGTATATAATATATGAAGTGTAGGTGAACATTAACCCTTGCCATTCATAGGTCAGTATTGGTAGCCCTTCCTGTGACAAAGTGCCCCTGAATTAGCCCTCAGCTGTAAAAAGGTTCGTGACCGCTTGTCTAAAGAGCCCCATGTGGCTCCAGAGCCCTATGTTACGTGGAGGAACTTAGAAATTCTTTATACTGCATTCACAACTGATACGTTTCTACCAACTATGCATAGATTAAGACAAAGCATTTAGTTAATTTTTCCTCTTAAAATAGCTCTCGCCAACTCAGATTCGATAAAGGATGTATTTTGAGTTTCGGCCTTTTGACTGGATTAGTCTAACATGATAATGCTTTAATTAATTAGCTGTAGCTTTGTTTTTTTTAGGGGTCCTGCTGTAATATAAACCACAGCCTGTAGCGTTTTGCAATCTCCAGCAGATTTTTTTTTTAAGTACACCATACTACAAGGTGAGGGCGCCAACACATTTGTCAAAATACTGTTTCATCCATAAATGCTAAAATTTGGGTTAGCCTCAGGGGATGGGAAATAAACAAAGGTATTAAATCAGGTTTATGTTTCCTCTAAAACTTTTAAAGTGAACTTTTGGATTTTTTTTTGGGTGGGGCACAGAACAATGTTTAAAACCTTTACAAATAGCAGTCAGGGATGATTTATTGGAAAAACCTTTAGTTTTCCAAATGGCTGTTTACATTTGGGGGTAAATAGGGATTTTTTTTTGTCTCATTTACCAACAGGATCTTCTGCTAGATGAACGGCATGTAGCCTACATGCCTGACTTTACACACTCGAAGAACAATTAGATTCATTTTTAGATTGAATCCAAAATAGGTTTTAACAGGTGATTTCTGACAGCAGTTGGCTCTATTGGATTTTATTTAGTAATTTTCCCAAATAGACACTGACACTTTTCATCTTTTTGTTTGAAAAATGTGTATTATTTTAGCTCCTCTTCGCAGTTATTGTTACTTCTCTTCATCTCCATCATAAAACTAAACACGCTGAACTTTCTAGCTGTGATAGGGAACAATCGGGAATAGAGAAGGGAGGATTCCAATAGGTTCTCACCAGTGACCATAACACTGCGAATGTGAGCGAGTGTCAGGGTGCTAATGACTTCTGGGCTCTCGGGTTTGACCAGGTTCTTCATCATCAACAAGCCCAGGAACTGCATTTCTTTCTCTACTTCCCCCCTGCAGACAGACAAAAAGCTGCCTTCATATACAGAGCAACAATCTTGAACGGTTAGAAATAAATATATGTATTGCAGTTATTCTCACCGTTCGATGTTCATCAAGTCAGAATTTACGTCTACTGGTTTGCAGGCAAGTGCCAGAACCCTGAGGCCTTCACTGGAGAAGGTACGTAGTGTGCTTGAGAACTGAGCTGGAACTGAAGAAAAAAGAAAATAAACAAATAAATAACATTGTTTTAATAAAGAATTAAATCTGAAGTGGGAGGATGTAGTTAAGGTGTAAACTGCTCAGTTTGGTAGAACCTGTATCAGGACGACAGAGGCTAGCCACCATCTCTGGGGAACCTTTGAGGAAAGCTAGAGCAGAGCGCCCCCTATGGGCCACCGTCACAACACTCATCCTCTGCAGGGCTGAGGAGAAGGGAAACCTCTTTACGATGGCCACTGCCTCACTGGAGAACTGATGGGAGAATAGAAAAATAAAATGTGTGATTTATATTTTATGAAAAACACTTTCTCTTTTCTTTGCAATTTTAAATTCAGGCAACACCTTTACAGTACAAATACGGTTTAACACACTTGATCACTTACTTGCACTGTCCGTCTGACAAGATGATCATTTTAGAACCAAAACAAAGATAAGACCTTAATGTGAGAGTCCATTAATGACTGTTATCTAGACCAATGATTGGTTAGGGATTAACAACATTTTTATAAGCTAAACTCCATGCAGAGAGACCCTGGGCCGGGAATCGAACCCAGAACCTTCTTGCTGCAAGGCACCAGTGCTACCCACTGCACCACTGAGCAGCCCCGAAAGGATTTTTCATAAAAAACATAATTAATATGCACAAATTAATAATAGCTGTATTAACTGTACATGTAACAGGAGTTTTATGGGGCCCCCAGGAACTTGGGGCCCCAGGCAACTGCCTAGTTTTGCCTAATGGTAAATCTGCCCCTCCGGTCTGCATATGTGCGCAGCAACACTGATTAGTTGAACCTGTCTTGTATTATGTGACATTAAGCAGCGAGGCGTCCTTTTGTTGAAACTCAGTAATTGCAGCTTGACATGTTGTGACTAAGTTGAGTCAGTCGAATTGGGTGTCTAAGGCTACGTTCACACAGCAGCCTTAAGTGCTTCGATTTTTTTGCAAATATGCGACCTGTATCTGATTTTTTCATGACAGTTTGATCAACACAGATGCGATTTTTTCAAATCAACCCAGGCCACTTGGTGATGTGGTCCTGAATCCAATACGAATCGGATCTTTTGAAATGCGACCTGTGTCTGAACGGACAGGTCGCATTCATCTGACCTGAATGTCATTGATACTGAACAAAGGTCGCTATTCTGCATCCTGCTACTCAGAAGCTGCAAGAAAAACAACCAGGGTGGAAAATAATGCAGAGAGCAGTTTTTATTTTCAACCATCTTGAAAAGATTGTGTTGTTAGTGCACTGGCTGAGGCTGGGAAAGAAATGAAGGACTGCTGGATGCGCTTGTTAGGATAATTATCATAGATAATGGGTGAGTTTATTATACCTTAATATTAGCTGCCTGTTGCCGTCAGAACTGATGTTTTCCACAATAGTTTATCTAATTAAGACAGTTCCTCTGTCTGGATATACCGTTATAATCTTCATTCGGTACCTGGCAAAAATTTGGGAATGGAATGAGAGCGGTGTCCTTCAGCTAAGAACAAAGTGTAATATTTTGATAAGGTTGGATCCATGGATGTCTACTCATCTGCTAACGTGTATGATGTAATGATGAGGCTGACTGGAGATGTATAAATTGCCTTTTTAACTGTTAATCTGGGCGCCAGGTGAGCAGCTGCCTTCTGTAAGCTCTAATCAACTTCTCTGGTCTGAGTATGGTTATAATTTCTCAAAATCTGTTGTCATTTCTCCTAGTTATTTAATACATATAAGTTATGAAGCGTTATTTCTTTTCAGGAAAAAGAACCGAAGAGAGAAAGCTTCAAGGTGCATACATAGAGCCTTTAACACGCTCCAGCTCTACCGTCCATGTTTACCTCCGTAAACACAGAACACACTCACTTGTGAAGTCATTGCGTCCTCTTTTGCACATGCAGTGCACTTAAGTTGGCACAGAGATCACAAACAAGTCGCATATATTTGGAAATGTGAAAAACCGTGCAAAAGAAGTCGGGCTTTTCTTACTTTTCTGCCTGTGAACCCCCAAAATAAAAATGGCGAACACAGAAAAATACATTAATTCACTGCATGATAAGTTTATTGAAAAGTATAAAGTGAAGTAATTATATTGTTTTTTAAATAAATTTTTTTTTTTTAATTATATTTATTATCATTTCATTTATCATTTTAAACAGATTTTCATTATTTAATGGCACATTTGATCGTTTAATTGGATTATATTTCATGTTTAAAACGTGTATTAGATGTTATATACTTATTATTACACATACTTATTTTATACATTTATTTATAAAACGTTCATATTCATGTATTTATTATATACTTAAATACTTGTTTAGGCATTAATACTCACATACATAAAGGATCACTTCACAATGATTGTAAAAACCATGTTGCGAAGCACTACTTGGTGTCTATGAGGGGTCTCCACTTTGTGCATCCCTGCTTTAGAAAATTCTCCTCTATGCTATTAGAAACAACCGTTTCTCAAAAATCCCATGTAAAAATTTTTTTTAGAGAAAAGTGCTACAAATGAAGCACTCAAAAAGAGGTAAATTTAACATTTGCGGTAAAATGAGCAAAAACAAACCTGATTAGTAATCAGGGGAAGAGAGTACAACAGAAGCTGACTTAGAAAGTTAAACAAAACCGCTTAAAAGGAACAAATGATAGGGCGCCTTTACAGGAATTAACATTTTTCACTTCCACACCAATTTGTCGTTTTTCAGATGTTTCTATTCTTTTGTAATCCATGCTGACAGTTTATACTTCTGCTTTTAGCATACGATGAACCTCGAGGTGATGAAGCTGTATGATAATCGCCATAGTTACAGACTGTGTACGACTATTGTTATGAGCACTACAGAGATCCTGCTCTTACCGGATCGGGTGTGTGTTTATATACTGTAAGGGACTCACTTTCAAAGAGTTGGACTGTTCATTGTCTTGTGTGATAGACATAACGGCTCCCAGCCTCTGCTCTAGTGACAAAACATGGTAGAAATAAACAGCGCCCAGTTTATTTTAAAGGAGTTGGTTCAGTGACACCTTTTCCATCTTCATCTCACACGTGGCATGTTGTGTGAGCACACAGTGATGTAACGCTGTTTGGTTCATATAAATCATTAACATGCAATTGCAGCTGCTGGTTTAGAAAGTCTTTCCTACACTAATGAGGTGCAAATAACCGTGGAAAAAGAGCTTAATAGGCTTTTTTGAACAACATTGCTGAGACACTTACAGTTCCCTGAGATAGAGGCTTTTGAGTTGGAGGTCTCATAACTGCCAAAACTTTGTGACCTCCAAACGTAGAGTGCATAACATCTCCATCTCCTTCTGGCTCCTGGAGAATCTGAGTCACACCAAACAAAAAAACAAAACAAAAAAATGACTTTAACACTGATTTATTAATTGAAACTGATGAAATTAAAAGATCCTCTGCATAAAAAGACACACGTTTTTTTTCCCTCATTGTCTGACTTTAACTGCACCTATCCCTTTTCTCTTTTAGGACAGTTAGCATTATTTCTATTTGCCAAAATAAAGACTATTTACTATTCTAAAAATCTTTGTTGAGGCCACTCCAATACATTGATATTTTTTATTTTTTTGGTTGTATGCCTAAGGTTTTTGTCCATTTAAACTAATTTTGCTTCATTCAGCAAAACACTCACACAGCATAATGATGCCACTATCATACTTAAAATTAGGTGGGGTGTTCGAAGGTTTGGAAGCTTCCCAAATTTTCCTCAGAACGGTACCGTGTTGATCATAGCCACTCCAAATTCAGTTTTATCACACTTAAAAACATGTGTTTCATAAAGCTTAATCTGCTTCTTCTTGCCTTTGAATGGTGGCTTCTTCCCTGCTGAGTGGCCTTTAAGTCCATGTCGATAATAAAACTCTTTTTACAGGCGTATTAAAAAGTCCTTTTCCTTTTGATTTGAATTTCAGCATGTAGAATGGACATTCTCTCTGTGTTTATTCCTCTATATAACTGTTTGAACTAATGATGTCATACAAGGAAGCGGAATGTTTGAGGTGTGCCTGAAAATATGCACAAATGTGCCTCCATTCAACACCAGTGTTTAAAAATTGACCCCACAAGATCCTCAGAAAACCATGATATTATCATCAAATCTAATATATAATAATATATAAAATAATAAAACAAAAGAATAGAAAAAAATATTTTAGTATTCCAAACTTTCTTAAGACAGGTAAGGTTTATCTGATTTGTTTAAAAAAAGGAAAAGAAAAGCTATATTCTATGCATAGATATATTCCAAGTCCTGTGCCATTACTAATAAACAAAGTGAACTAATTGGAGCTGCATCTTTTCATACCCAGCCTGTAGACTCCAACATCTTGAGCTCCAGGGGGTCTCCGAGGGATTCACCATGGAGCAGAGTGACGGTGTGACAGCAGGCCAGAGCAGACTTCATGTGCCCTGGTGGCAGGAGCGTAGGGTCAGGGACCAGTTCTGATAAACCGACAGGTCCACTTTCCATTACCCCCCACACATCCAGACCCTCCTCTGTCAATGTCCCTGTCTGGGAAAAACAAATTAAGTCGAATCTTGATGCCAACATGTAAAGCAGACATGAGTTTACTCCAAATAAACGAGCGGGGAGCAGCTTCCGGCATCACCTTATCGAAGCAGAACACTGACACCTTTCCGCAGATGTTTATTCGTGGAGGACTGATGCAGAAGATGCCACGCTTCTTCAGCCTGCTCTGCGCGTAAATAGTTCCCGTGGTGATGGCGGCTGGCAAGGCAGGAGGCACTGCGATGGTCACGACATCCAGGCTTCGGATAATTAGCTGCAGCCAGGTCACCTGGACAGACATCAAGCAGCATTAACCCCTTTCACCTTAATGGAAAAATCTATAGTCTTCATATAAGAGCACTTACATTGCTTCTGAAGAGGATCACAAATATATAGACAGTACCCATGAGAGCTGAGGAAAATGTTGAATACGATTAGAAAAAAAATAAGCAAGTTTTAGTGAGATAGTAGAGACCCCGATAGAGCTTACCAATCACCCCGAGGATGAGCAGGAACTTCATAGCATCTTGGTAGAAGCGAAAGTTGATGGGCTGAGGGTATAAGATGGAGCTGACCAGGTTACCTTTGGCTGTGAAGAACCCTGCATCAGAAACACAAGCAGCATAACTCTTTGGACATAGAGAGCAGCGACAATCAACAGCTGCTTTTTGGGCAGTTTTTAAACTGGTGCACCTGAAACCTCTGTGCCAAAAAACAAAGGTGACATGTAATGTTTTAAGGAGGCCTTTAGCTTAAATTCCGATAAGGAGGTTAAGCCTAAGTCTAAGAGGGGGGGCTCCTTTATGAAGGGGTCCTAACCTGGTATTTAACATAAAACAAATCCTTTCAAAATATTCTTTAAATCCTTGTTTAATCAGTTTTAGGAGAAAAAAATAAAATAGAACTCATTCAGACGCCTTTCTCTTTTTTGCTCGGGTACCTATGAGAGTTTGAGTGTTGATGTGGTAGCGTTAGCAACATTAGCAGTTTACCATGGTTAATTTACCGTTGTTTCCCAGTTTCTAACACAATAGCTAAAAAGTTTGCTTTGCTTCTTTCTAAAACAAAAACAAATGCTTTGTTGGGCTACTGTGTAAAACCTTGAACTCAACGCTGTTACTGACATTTTGAATTGAAAAAGCTTCCTCAATGGGAAGCGAAACGTCTTCCAACTTGGAAACAAAGTCCAGAGGATTGTTTTAATTTTCTTTTTTGGAATCACACCAAGCTGGTTAGGATATTTTATTCTTTTAATAAAATTACCATTTAAAAGCCCTTTGTATGTGTCAATAAAGATTTTTTGAATGAACCAGAACAGTTAAAATCAGAAAAAAACATTTGACGGCCCCGTACCTGAAGGTAGAACGATGGCAAACCTGAGAGGAAATCGGAATTTATGTTGACTAAAGAGCTGTTTTAAGCCCGGTTTGGTTTTTGAACCAGCTGAGAGTTTTAGACTCAAGAGCCAACTAATATGGATTCATAATAAATTACAGTGCTAAAAGAGTGACATGGTGCACAATTGTTATTCACTAATGGTGATCTAACAGAAGCTTCCTTTGAGGGTTCAGCATCAGCATTTCCTCTACTAACCGGTGCTGGTTACCACAGCAACAGCGCCGCTGCCTCCCGGCCGTCCTCCTTTAGCCTGAATGATGTGTGTGCCACAGAAAAGTGTGTGTCTGCGCTCAGTCTCTGCGCTGTAGGTCCTGTCCCCGGCTGGGAGCGGGGTTTTTAGCACTGGGACACTCTCTCCTGAACACAAAAGATTTAAACGCTTGGTTCACCACAGGAAATCAACAACGGGACTAACTCAGACCATTAAATACCACAGAGTCATAAACTAACACATTTTAATTCTCAATACCAGTAAGCATGCTCTCATTGACCAGACACTCCCCAGCCAGCAGGGCGGCGTCACAGGGCAGCACCAGACCTTCTTGGGGGATGATTAGAGAGTCGCCAGGGACCAGCTCCACAGAGCTCACACATTCTTCCACTGAGAGAGCAGAAAACAGCGTTAATATAATGGATTTATTCATGCTGGAAAGCAAGTGACTTTAATACAATTAAAAGTTATTTTGTAAAATAGAGCTACTCGAATTATGTAAACTTTGCTAACACAGTGACTTTATCAAAGAGTTTTATGTTGGCCCAACATCAAGTCGGTTTTGCTTTCATTTGCAGATTTATAATTGTCCCTAAAAAATAACTAGTTATAACTCAGATGAAGCAGAGGTAACTTAGCTCTAGAAAAGCACTTTTTATGCTCCCATTAATTAGTCCCCATTTACTTTTTTGATTGTGTCTTGTACTCTGTGGTGATATTTGGGTTGAGACCCAAACTTTCACCCATGAAACCCTTAAAAAAAACTATAACCAAGTAGTAGAGCCATATTAAGACCTACGTTTTTTAATTACGAAAATAACGTCATAATATTATGAGAAAAAACAGTAAAAATTTTTCAGTTGTTCAAGTTTTAGACAGTCAACATTACTTTATACTAGTAATGTTACAACTTTATTCTAGTCATGTTTCAAATGTATTCTATTGTAACAACTTTATTCTTTTAATGTTAAAACTTTATTCTATTGTAACGACTTTATTCTTGTAATGTTACAACTTTATTCTTATGTTACAAATTTATTCTTGAAGTCACAACTTTATTGTAACAACTTTATTCTTGTAATGTTACAACTTTATTCTATTGTAACGACTTTATTCTTGTAATGTTAAAACTTTATTCTATCGTAATGACTTTATTTTTGCAATGGTAGACTTTTATTTTGTAATATTTCAACTTTATTCTTGTAGTCACAACTTTATTCTATTATAACTATATTCTTGTAATATTAAAACTTAATTTTTATAATGTTAAAACTTTACTCTAGAAGTCACAACTGTACTCTATTGTAACGACTTAATTCCCTGCAATGTTACAACTTTATTCTTATAATATTACAACTTTATTCTTATAATATTACAGCTTTATTCTTGAAGTCACAACTTTATTGTAACAACTTTATTCTTGTAAAGTTACAACTTCATTCTATTGTAATGCCTATTTTTGCAAAGTGGTAGACCCTTATTCTTGTAATGTTACAAATTTATTGTATTGCAATGACTTTATTTTTGCAATGGTACACCTTTATTTTGTAATATTACAACTTTATTCTATCATAACGACTTTATTCATGTAATGTAACGACTTGCTTTGACAGCTTTATTCTTGTAATGTTGTAACTTCATTCTATTGTAACGACTTTAATCCTGTAATGTTACAAATTCTCTGGTCTCTGGGTCTTTACAGCAATAATGTTATATCTATTAATGTTACCACTTTATTCTGGTAATGTTATGTTATTCTCTAAGATCAACTGTTATCACTTTATTTTCATTATAATACAATTTAATTCTCATAGTTTTAAGACTTTCATAGACCTAATATTATTTCAAAAATATTCTGACTTTATTTCTTTATTGAAAAAACACTCTTAGTGTGACCCTTGCACTCCTTTGTAGAAACCCTTAAGTTTATCAGAATACAAAAAATTCTTTCACTTTTAGTCAGTATAGTTGAAATTCAAAGCAGTCATTGTCATTTTAAATACAAAAGCAATACAAATATTATTGCATTAAAGATCCATTAAACTCCTCTAATCCTAGAGAACGTAAGCAGCACACAAAACATAATCATAAACATACCTCCTGAGTCTCTGCATATTGTGACACTTGTGATGAACTGAGCCATGTTGCGTAGAGTGATACTTTGCTTCAGAACAAGAGAGGATTCAGGTTAAGAAAAAAGAAATTCTATTTAGAGATCAGCTTAAACACATCAGGCTAAATAAATAATATAGCAGGCTCACCTTTCGAGTTTCATACAATGAGAGACTGATGGAGATGACTGAGATAATGAATATGCATAAGGCATAGTAATAATACTCATCAATGGTCCACAGGGTGATGCTGAATATTTGAAAAATATAGAAAGGGTTGAGGACCTGCAGGAATAAAACAAAATGAAAAGGAATTAGTCAGTGTTTTAGTTTTGCATGGTATCATAGAATTCCAGCTGCAGATCTATTCCAGCACTTATTTTTTTTATACAATTCCTGTGGTTTAAAGTAATTTTAGAATTATAAGAGTAACTGGAGTAATGTTTATATATATATAACCACACTGCTGGTCAGCTGGCTGAAAAAAAAGGGCCCACACAATTGCCCTGGATTAAAAGATGGACAGATGCGACTGTTAAGAAATATTTCTAGTTAACAAAAAACCAGACAGTTACAGTTGTACAGGAAAAAGGCACTTCAGACAGTAAGCATGATGTAAGAAGCGGGTTTCACACTGGCCAGCTGAGCACATAGTTATAATTATCTGATTAAGATCAGCTTTGTATTTTTCCACTGTTTCTCAATAAAGAACTGCACAGCTTAAAGGTAGAATGCTTTATGCAATCAGAAGGTTTCTTCACTATTCCAGTACTTCTACATTTAGCAAACGTTCTCCATTTCTTAGCTTCAACTGCTGCACTTAAAAAAATACCAGTTAATAAATGCAAAAGCTAAAATCATTAGAGCTGTAATAAACAAAATATTATAGCATGCTGGTAACATTTGGAAAAAAATACTAGTTTTCTCTTTCGACTAAAAACAGGTCATGGTATACATGTGAAATATGAATGACTAGCTTTAACCTATGCATCATTTTACAGCGGTAAGAAGAATTTAGAAAAATCCACCTGTAGCAGTTTTGCTCCCCTGCATTGCTGTCTTTTTTGCAAATGCATTTTATCTACTCCCTAACAATTTTAACAATGGGAAACCTTTTAACAAATGGGCAATGCATATATTTTTCTCTCTATTTACTAATATTCTAAATAGGAAAGAGGTTTTCCTAAATTCTAATAAGCACCTAAGCAAATATATGAACTACTCCACTGGATCTGGGGTCCGATTCAATAAGCAGGTTTTCTGAAAACTCTTAAAGGTGCAGTAGGAGATCTTTTTTATAACTGGTAAAAAAAAATACTCTGCTGCTTTGTGTCTAATGTAGGCAGAACCAATTTTAACCTATTAACTAGCCTGATTACAAAACAGTCTCTGTCTGAGGATTTTAAAACTTATGTTCTCTTTTTAAGTCGTAGGGAAGCGGCTGTTCCAACGGTTGCATTTCCAAATTCTCCCGAGTGGTGCACGACTTTACACGAGTGAATAAAGTGAATGTGATTGGTCGTTTATCAAGGGGGCGGGATTGTTGTGGCGGAAGATTCGCAAGTTTGGTTGTGGCCGGTTTATCGGAAGTATCTTGCTAACCAGTTAGAAACTTAGGCTACATTCACATTGAAGCCTGAAGTGACCCAAATCCGATTTTTTGGCCCATATGCGATCTGTATCTGATCTTTTCATGGCAGTCTGATCAACACAGATCCGATTTTTTTCCAATCCGAACCAGGCCACTTGGCTATGTGGTCCTGAATCCGATACGAATCTGATCTTTTCAAATGCGACCTGTGTCTGAACGGCCAAGTCGGATTCATCCGACCTGAACATCATTAATACCCGACAAAGGTGCGGAGAGCAGTATTTATGTTTAACCATATTGAAAAGATTTAGTATTTATGGCTGGAAAAGACCGCTAGATGCGCGCCGGCACTACCATCCATGTTTACTTCCGTAAACACAAAGCACGCTGGCCTGTGACATCATTGCGTCCTCTACTGCACATGCGGGACACTTGAGTTGTATGACTGCAGTTCACACAGGAGATCACATACAAGTCGCATATATTCGGAATTGAGCATCAAGGCCTGCAGCGTGAACGTAGCCTTAGTGCTATTAGGTTCCCAATGGGAAATTCCATTGGGACCAAGTAGCACTAAATTGGTGACTTAGAAACGACACTGTCAAGGAACGCTATGGACAGCGGAAACATGCGAGAGGAGGAGAGCTTTGTGTCGGAGGTCGTGGATGAGTCTCCTCCATCATACAATTTTAATTTAGAGGACTGAAAAAAAATTGATTGACAGATGACCGTTGATATATGATTGGCTGAATTCAGGTGTACAAGCTGACATATAACTAACTGGCCTGCATAAGTTAGGTTTTAGAAATTTTCTTAATTTTGGGACAATATAGTCTGATAGAGTACATTTATATACATGTTTAAGCCAGAATGATTTGACATTTAAATATAACTTCTCTACGACTTTAAACCTTTTTCTAGAGTTTTTAGAGGGTAACAGTGAACAATGAATGTTATAAGGCAGGTCATAAAAGCATTGCGCAAATAAATACATTTCCCATTACTGCTCAAAGTTAATGATTCAATTCCCCCAGACTCATTACTCACTTCCTCAAACAGTAGCCTCATGTAAGACTTCACAGGTACATCGATAATGTTGGCCCCGAACATACATCTCCTAAAAGAACAAAAAAAAAGGATAATTTAAAGAACTATACATTCTTAATTTAAAACCTCTCAAGTGAAACATCATCTCCTACCTCAAGCTCTGATCCTGAGGACTCAGGCCTTTCTGGAAGCCATACAAGTCTTTGCAAGTCCAGTCCTCACAGAGGACACTGAAAAAAACAGAAACTAGTTTCAACTACAAAAAAAAATCTATGTTTACAGGTAAACATGCCGTTGAGATGCAGTAAATGAGATAAACGTAACAATATAAGGAGTGATCAGAGAGCTTTTTCTATTCAGATGTTTTCATGTTGGTTGTTCCAGTACCTAACGCGACAGAAAGCCCCCTTCCTGTCCAACCAGATGTAACGGAGCCCTTCAAACAAGTAGTAGCGGAGTAGCGTTTTCTGTAATGCAGCAAAGGAAACTTTAGGGTGTGGACATTATTTCATAATATATAAAAATAACTAGAAAAACAAAGATTACCTCCTCTCTGTGCAGCTGAACTGTATCTCTCCAATCAGCCTCCTCTTGCTGCCCCAGCAGCTCCAAACTGGAGGAAACAGCTGAATCAGCAGAGTTCTGCAGGTCTCTATTGTATTCTCTGAGCGAGTGCTTCTTAAGGTTTAAAGGTGGAGATGCTGCTTACCTGCCTGCCTCCATCTCCACTGTGTGCACCTCCACAACATGCTGCTGGCCAAAACTGTCCTGACAAAAAACATTGTGAATTAAATGAATCAGTTAGTGGCTTTGTGGAAGATGAGCAGATCTAAAACCAAACACTGCATTTGCGTTCCTCACTCTTAGCAGGAGGACATCTGCCAAAGCCAGAGGGCAGGAGCGACAGCGTGCGCGGAGGGCGAGGCGCGGGCGCCAGTGAAACACAATCAGGAGCAGCCCCAAGGACAGCAGGGCCGCCAAGCGACACAGCCACACCCGCCAGCGAACCCACTTATACCCCTGGACGTCCTGAGGGAACAGAGTCACATTCAAACGCATGATCCAGTTTAATATCAGAGGTTAAACCTCACAAAAAGAAAAAAAAAAAAACTACAAAATTATCAGAAACCACATGACATGAGAAACTGAAGTTAAATCAGCAGGAAGATCCTTAAACAAGCCACTGAAAACATTCAATTAACTATACTTTTTGGCTTTTTTAGAGGAAAAGAGAAGGCACAAATCAGCTGGTTCAGGTAAATGAAATTAAGTGAATCTGAAAAAAGATTTCTCCACATTTTCCATCAGGGTTGATTTAGCAAACAGGAAGCAGGTGATCTTACCATGTGTGAGTCAGGACTGAGGAGGGGGTTTCGTGGACAGGGTGAGGGGAGTCCACTCTGCGGGTCCACAACACTTCCTACAAGACAAGAGACGAACTGATTACAGCATCAGAAAATTCCCTTCAAGCCTCATTATTTTGGATCCTATAAGAGTGAATATTTTCTCTTGCTTTTAGATGCTTTAAAGCTGTCAGTTTTGTTTGAGTGCAATACTGAGCATCAACCTGAACAGTAGCTCATCAATGTGCACGGTAGTGGCAGCAACAAGCTGAAGGGTTGCTTTAACCTGGCAGGAACAGGGAAGCTGGCTGCAGTTATATAATACTGATAAGGAATTTGCCTCTGGGATTATTAAAATATGTCTGATTCTGATTCTGAATCCCAGCTGATATAAGCGCTTCTCTCTGCTGACATTATTGGTTATTCTAACCCCTTGTGAACCAAACAAGGACATGGTGATATTTTGAATTCCTACTGAACAGATTCAGGGATTGTTGTCCTACCATCGGAGAATAACTGACTAACAATGAGATGAAAACAGCCGTCTGCACGATACTACAGAGTAGCTTCAAACACTTCAAGGCTCAGTCGTAAATGTGAAGAACAACCATGGGCGGATCCAGTTTGCTGTAGATTATAGCAGCGGGTATCAATCAAAGGCAGGTTTGTCCCAGCAGCTGCTAAGCAAGTTCCACTCCTTTTCTTTGCAAACATATTGATGCAAACTCGCATCTGAGCCCTCAGGGCTTAATAAAATAGCTCTACTTGAAAAAGGAGATGGGAGTTTGATCGATAAATAATCTGAGCCCTGAATCTTTCAAGGGCAGCAGGAAGGCAACCAAAGCACGGAAACTGTTGTCATGTTAACCTTCTTTTAACAGCATCCTGATGGGGAAAATAAATCAATAGATTTTGACAGTAAGCTTGTGAAATATTCAACAGAGACGTAGATGCATATAGAGACATTCATGAATGAAATCTCGCAACACAGTTGCTGCAGATTTGTAAGCTGCACACTCACAATATGAATTTCCTTTTCCACCACAATGCAAATTGGCTCTTATGGATGGAGATCTGGTACAGTAAACCTGCTGCCATGTTTAAGAGATGCTCAGTTGGGTTCGCCAGTACCAAGAAAACATCCCCTGCCTGCAACATTACACTGTCATGACTAATATGAAGCCTCCATACAAGGTAGGATGGTTTCATGCTTTGATAATAAACCTAAACTCAAATTATATTTGCCAAAACAGTAACACTGAATTATATCAACTGGTATCTAATATCTCTGATATTGGCAAGTGGATAGAAACATACAGTTTCTGTTTACCTTTTTGTAACCCATTCCTCAATTATTAATCGGACAGTGGGTCTCATACCTATTGTTGTTTACTATTGTTGACTGATTTAGTAATATCACTTGTTTAACCCTGTTCTAACATTATGCATAACAAAACAGATATAAAAAGCATGTATGATTCTTAATATTATCAGAGTCAGTCGATTTTTAAAGCTGCAATATCGGTATCATATATTCCTCTCGAACATCAACGCATTTCCATTTACACTACTGTGACTCACTGGGTATTTACTCTTTTTAAAATTAACATTTAACCTAACAGAAAGTTATGCCTGAAAACCAGGCAACCTGTTTCTGAAATTCTCAGAGCGGTCCATCTGCCATTAAATGACCAGACTGTGATCAGAACTGACAAAACCCCATTCCTCTGCCTTTCTGACGCTCACTTCAGCAGATATTAGGGCCAGGCTAGAGATTTGAAACATTATGAAAATAAAGTTGTATTATTATGAGAATAAAGTCATAAAAATTACAAGAATAAAGTCGGAACGAGAATAAAGTCGCAACATTACAAGAATAAAGTAGTAATATTAAGGGAATAAAGAAGAAATAAACTGATGTTACTACAATTTACACTGGCCAGGGGGGAGGGAGGCACCCACCTGTGCAGGGTGGGTGGCCACCCCTGGTCAACCCCTGTTGGCGCCATTGCTCCTACAAAAAGCACAGGTATGTGGAGCAACATGTGCAGTTATAGTTTGGCATTGGTTTGACAAATAAGGAAATATTTTAGCACCAGCATCAAATCGAGTCTTAGGTCAAAGTGGCCTCTGGTTGCTGGTCGGCCTTCATATGCTGCTCGGATCTTTCTAAAACGCATTGTGGAAAGATGACTTCATTCTCGTTATTTTCAACTTTACTCTTGTAATTTTACGAGTTTATTCCCTTAAATGTACGACTTTATTCTCATAACGTTACGGTTTTATTCTTGTAATATTACGACTATTTTCTCATAATTTTGCGACTTTATTCTCATCATATCAAAAAAAAAAAAACATTCCGTCGTAAATGTAGTAATAAAAGTGGTTAGTGATCGTTTACAATAAGTCCCTATTCATGCTATCATTGACTTCAGTTAGAATTTTTAAATAGAAGTTGGATTATCGATGTTGCTATAAAAAAAACGCTGATTGGCGTGAGCGTTCCCACGGTCCGTGAAAGCACCACAGAGGCAAACTCCTAATCTGGAGAAAACTGAGAAGAAAAACTCAATCAAAGAGGACGGCGTTTCGCTCCAACCGCAACACTAACGCCGAGTATTACTGGGAAACGATTAGCCAGACGCCTTAAAAGTCGATAACCATAGCTGTTACACTGAATACTCACTTCCGCTTCCAATTATTGGTAAAATACCGAAACAAACGCAGTTTTTTTAGGCAGGAGGAGGAAAAGCACGACTTACCGTCAAAAAGAGAATGTTAATGGTAGAGAAAAGCCTTCTCCTCCTTCTTCCCCCGGTGAAATATTCCAGAGACTGAAGTTAAAAACATCCCACCCTGCAGCTGAATCGCAGTCCCTGCCTCTGACACCGAGACACACTTGTTCAACCGGCTGGGGAGCAACTATCTGACACCAGTCTGCCTGTTCACTGATAAATAAACCTGAGGAAATCCCTCTGGACAGCAGGCAGGACGAAACAGACAAAATCCACTTCAATCTGTTAATTCAATACTGTCAAAACAGATCATTACGGAAGAGGATTAAGGCCAGTGAAAAAATTTTTACATTTTATTTCAGTATGAGAATTTCTCACAATTCTGACTTTAATCTCAGAATTCTGACTTTTTTCTTACAATTATGACTTAAATCTCATAATAATCTCATAATTCTGACAGCTAACAAACATGTAAGCATCAAGCTGTAGCCATGTCTGTTTTAGAGCAGGTAAAAAGTTGCCTAATTGCATCATTTTCCACCAATGTGTCACTGGCCCTGCTAAACAACTTACATCTTTGTCAGTGAAGCTGACATCAGAGCACTCATTCCGTCATGGTGCCCATCTACATTAAGATACAAAATTGTGAGATTAAAATCTGAATTTTGAGAAAAGTCAGAATTCTAAGATTAAAGTCAGAATTCTGAGATTAAAGTCAGAAATTTGAGATTAAAGTAAGAATTCTGAGAAAAAAGTCAGAATTTTGTGATTAAAGTCAGAATTCTGAGAAAAATGTCTGAATTGTGAGATTAAAGTCAGAATTCTGAGATTAAATTCATAATTCTGACTTTTTTTCCCATATTAAACTGAAATGCAATTTAAAAATCAGTCAACTTTTTATTGTTTGTCCCTAATTCTTTTCCATAGATAATGACAACAAACAGCTGGATATCAATGCACCTATATATGAATAACTCTCAACATCTTTCATTCTAGTTTCTATTTTATTAAATACATGTCAGTATCCTATCAGTACCACAAGTCGACACCTAAATGTGTTTGTTTAAACATGTTATCATAAGGAAAACATTGTCCCAATGATAAGGGTTGGGGTAAAGTTCACAATGGCACACTATACCTCTGAGATACCTGCTGCCTTTTCTTGAAAACATCTTACTGAATCAAAATATACATCATGCAAATATTTGTAAAACTAGCTTATGTCAAAGTTCATCAAAGCTGGATTATTTTGCAAAACATGAAAAATTAAATAGAACTTCTGTTTTAGCTAAGAAATCTGAACCCAACTCGGTTAACTTCAGATTTCGCATTCAGAGTAGTTAAAAATTGACATGATCAAAACATCAACAAAGAGCATTTTAATAGCCTAGTCCTTTAAGGATAAATCAGTAACCAGATTTAAAGATTCATTCATTTGACAGGAGCAGGAGTTCTAAATATAACTTTATATCAGTGAGGATGAGCACAAAAAGTAAAGGCTTTCGGTTTGATTTTTAACAGATTAGACTTTCAGTGTCAAAAAAGGGAACTAAAGCAAGTTAACAAATGATGAAGCAGACACAAGACAGTCATCTGAGCTGAGAAAGCAAAAATTTAACAGTCCTGAACCCAAAACTGCTCAACTATGGGCTTCAACAGCAGGTTCAGCAATAAGTTAGTTTGACTTTGCAGATTTTAAATGTTGATTTCTCTTTTGAAACATCCCTATGCAGAGCACTGAAACTAAAACTTTGTCTATGAAAAACGATAGATTGTAATATTTTAGAACCAGGCTTTAAATGGATCATTAACATATTGTAGATGTATAATACTTTTTTATTAAATAATAAAAAAAAAGAAAAGTAAATTAGACTTTGGCTCAGACTGTTCAGATTTAGAATTTGTTTATTTTTAACCCTAATCCTTACCTCAGTCAAGGAAGTTGTGGTTTTAGTCAAGTTGGTGTTTCTTTGTTTATTTCTGTCTGTCTGTCTACAGGATAACTTAAAAAGTTATGAATGGATTTTAATTAACATTTTATCAAAGGAGCACCTCAGTCCAAGGAACAATCCATTCAATTTTGGTGATAATCCACATCACAATCCGGATGTAGGAATTGTTAAGCAGGCATTCCCAAACTCGGTCCTCGAGGCCCGCTGTCCTGCAGGTTTTAGAGGTTTCCTTGCTCCAGCACAGCTGATTTTAATTGAAAGCTGATTAACAGGCTTTTGGTCTACTGCAATCATTATAACCAGCTGTGCAGAAGCAGAGAAACCTCTAAAACCTGCAAGACAGGGGGCCTTGAGGACCGAGTTTGGGAATGCCTGGTTAACATTATTTATATTACCAGAAGTTTCCCAATGTGGGACAATAAAGGGGTTTTCTATTCTCTTTCCCCTAAACCAGAGTGGCAGCAGTGACTATCGACAGCTTCAGCATCAGACTGATCCAGATCATAAACGAATTTGAGCTATAGCTGTAAATCACAATATGGGGGAAGATTTGCTGCTTGTTGGAGGTCTGCGATCTCCAAGTGCTTTCTAGTTCATTTTATTCTCTAATCTCTTTTTAGACCAGTTGACTGACTTTGACAAAATTATTACTTTTAATCAAACCTTCTATAAATAATTTTATTTAAGTAATATATCCAAATAATACTTTAAATCATAGGTTGTCAAAAAAGATCAAGAGGTCCTTTCTCATAGGAGCTAAGTACATCATCTGATCCATTTAGGTTGGTTTATATCTCTTAACTTCTGTCTCCTTGAACCCCAGTCGGCCTCGGCAGATCGCCACTTACACTGAGCCTGGTTCTGCTGGAGATGTCTTCCTGTTAAAAGGGAGTTTTTCCTCTCCACTATCGCTACAAGCATGCTTAGTGTGAGGGATTGCATTCGAGTCAATGAGTCGATGCAATCAGCTGGTTTTCCTTAGATAGAAAACTTTGTATCAATTTGACTGTTTGATCTGGTGAACTGTAAAGTGCCTTGAGATGACATGTGTTGTGAATTGGCTCTATAGAAATAAACTGAATTGAATGGAATTGTCTGAAACAACAGTTTATAACACATGAGAAAATTAAAGTCAGTCAGAGATTGATACTGTATTTTTTAACAGTAATGTGTATACTTCTGTCTTAATCTCTTTACTTATTTTTTAAACTATCTGCATATGATCATAACAAAACAGCTCTGCTTACTTTATGCTGTTATTACATTGTAATTACAGTAGAATAATTTGTATGAATAGGTTTATGCAGGGCTGCCAACTTTTCACCAAACCTTGGGGTGAGATTTTGAAATAATTTGGTAAGTAAACCCTGTCAGGGTTAGATGAGGATGGGTGCAGCTATAGGTTGGCGGTTTTCAGAGGATTTAACTGAAACAAAGCGGCAAAATGTGGAATTTTTATATCAGAATAAATGTTACTGATTAACAATAAGTGGTCTGTAATTATGTGGAACATTTTTCTCACAATATATATTATTTTCTAAAAGCAGAATGGGCCCTACTAAAATACTTGCATCTTAAATATACTTTAAACTAAGAATTTCACAACTTTCTTTATTAATGATTCTCTGCAGTTCAAGTAAATTAAACAATGGGAAACTAATAAGCTATAACTGGATTACTGGCACTGATGCAGGGACCAGTGCAATCGAAACTAATGCAAACTACACTGTGTATGAACATTTGGTAATAAACTAAGGATTAAAAAGCTTCATTCACTATGTTATTAGATTTTCTTACAATTGACAAAACATTTAAACAATTCAGACCTTCTAGGAGGCTGTAGATTTTATAAAAGTCATCATGACAGGAGACAGCACTGCTCTGGATGTTTAATTTGGAAGGTGTGATGGAAATTAAGTTTTTAAACCTATTGAATGGACCAAAATAAAGATAAAATAATAAGATAAGTAGTAATAATAATAGAAGAAGATCCTTGAGGTTTCTCCTCCATGAATCCTGGATAACTGAGCTGTTCTGCACTTCCTCTCTGAATGTGGTTGGTCTTTTTTTGGGTGGCTGATCTTTTGAAAAATAAAATGCAATGGTTCTTTTTCTTTTTGTGGACCTCCTATAGGTTTGAGAGACAAACCTGAAAGCTTTAAGAATTAAAATATTTGTGTTGGTTTAATTACTCCTAAATGCCAATGGGAGATTATTAAACTAGACTGAGCAACAATTTTTTAACTTGTGAGCAAAACATGGACTAAAACTGGGACTAAAAAAAGCACCATGTAATGAGAACACAAACCATGTGATCCTTTTTAGTGTGAGAAATTGGGAATAAGGAGTGAGAGTGTGTGAAGAGACTGAGATGGGTGAGTCTCACTCCCAATGGGTGAGAGTTGGCAGCCCTGTTTATGGTTCATGGAGTCGATATTAAAAACCACAGAGGAACATTAAAATCTGGCTGTAGGTGTAACAGATTTTGTTTAGTACATGCATTAGAAGAAAATATGTTTCTGAAAATGCACGACATCCGAGAACGCATATTTCCGTTAGCAGTTAGGGTCAAACAATATCTATAAAAAAAAAAAGATAATTTTTTCTATTTTACAGATCCATGAAAATAATGTATGATTTAACTTTTAACAATCTCTGTAGATTGTTTTTATATTCACTATCACAGTGAATGAGGAAACAGCAAATAAGGAATTACTTTAGTGAAGGAAAACGGTTTATTTATCAGTGCAGCTGACAGATACAGTAGCAGTCATAAACAGTAGAAACCCTAAATTAGTAAAGCTAACTGTCAGGCTAGCAGTTAGCAGTCCCGTTATCTCCGCTCCTTTGTGAAGAAAAAAAAGAAAACGGGGAAAAACACTCACCCCGCTTGTCCATCTCGTGGTCACAATGCGATACTCTGCATAATTCCTGGGAACCAGACTACCCCTAACTGATTAAATCTTCTTTCAACACATGCCACCGGATCGTTTACATTGTTCTACGGCAAGCCAAAGCGCCCAAAATTCAATCACGCGCGTGACAAATTATTAAGCAAACAGTCAGAGCTCTTTAGCCTCCCTTCAGAAGGGCTTACATTGTAAATAAGCTGGGGACAGACAGAATGATATTGGTATTAATATCCAACTTGCTCATAATTAACCAGAAACAAAGAAACATAACTGAATAAGCAAAAAATATAATTCTTGGAGCTATTTATTCTTTATTCATTTGAATTGCGTTAATTCCTAAATGCATATTTTTTGTATTATTTACAGAATCTATTTGCAGGTTATTAATTGTTGATTCTATTTATCTTCGTTTTATTATTTTTCTTATTTATTGACAGGAAGTGATGTGGATCAGTCCACTTTCTATAAGTGTAGGGGGGGCCTGGGAAAGGTGCAGCAGGCATTTCTGTGTTTGGGGCCTATGGTTTTTACCAGCGCAATAGAGGTAGGACAAAAGAAAAAGTTTGTACTCTTTAATTGTTGGCAAAAATAGAAAATAAACCTTCCGAATCATCTTCAAGACATTGAAACTTCTTTTGCCTGAGTATAGAAACTGGACACCAGTGCCTTGACCCCTCGCTTAATTAGAGCTTTAATTGGATGTTTGGCCTGGCAAACAATCACCACTACAATAATCTCGAAACAAATATCAAACAATAAAGTAAAATAAATAAACTTAGTTAATCATTGACAAAAAAAAAATATTGTCTCCATCATCTTTATATTGAAAACAAAGGCTATTTGGCTAACTTGAAGATGATTAATTATTCTGAATAAAAAAATAAATCAGAAAAAATTTGCATTTGTATTCAAACCCCCTTTAGTCTGACCTGTCCAATTTAACCCCAGTGCAATAAATAAAAAAAAAATAAAAAAAACACACAAATATGAAAAACATAAACAAGATCTGGTGTAGCAGTTTTAGTTGCAGCTTTTCATGTGTGTCAAAAGTCTCAATGTTGCAGGTAAAAAAATTCATCTTGTTTTTTTTTTTTTTTACCCTTCATTTCTCCTCTAAAAGATATGATTAGTTTTATAGTCTCAGGCATTTCAGTGGATCTGTTTTTAGTTCTGACCTGAAAACAATTCCTACTCATTGCATCCTTCAGGATATCATTTATTTCAGCTTAGGTTCAAACAACATTAAAGAAGAAATTATTTTCTTACCACTTTAATGCAAAATAACATTATGGGCTTCCATGATCTTTACTGAGGACATTATTTAAAATTACCAGACTAAATACAACATCATGCAAGCCTAAAGTTTTAAGTTTACACACAATCAGCAAGGGTGTGGTCCATAATATTGAAGCATATATTTGAAGAGCAGGTCTTTTCTTTTACCGTTTTATATCCCTCATTCACTCTTACATAAATTCACACACACAATGGACACTTAATAAAGTCTTAAAATGTGCTAATGTAGCAGAAGGGTTTAGCTTGGCTCTTCTCTTCCTCCCAGTTCAGTTCAAGGTCTCAGAAGTTAGTCTAGAGCCATCTTTGTTAACAGTTGTTTATGAAGCTGCAGCTTTCTTTTCCTTATAAGTGGCCATCATTTTCTTGATTTCTGCTATGGCCTTTCCTGGGTTAAGACCCTGTTGAGAGGAAGAAAAACATTTAGACAAAGCAACTCTTTATTCTGTGAAAGCCTATCTAGTAATTGCTTTAAGCACCTTTGGGCAAGTTTTGGTGCAGTTCATGATAGTGTGGCAGCGGTACAGGGAGAAGGGGTCCTGAAGTTTAGACAATCGTTCCTCTGTGAATTCGTCACGGGAGTCGATCATCCATCGGTATGCCTGTGAGAAAAACAAACATACAAACATATAACAAACATATACAGGGGGTTTGAGTATTATAGTTCAGATCAGCACGTATCTACTTTAGAAGGTGTGTATATCTTGCTGTCATTAACTCCTGCTATCTTCTACACAGTTGATTTACTAATGAATCTCCCCTCTTAATGACAGATTTATTGGAAGCATCATGCAGCCCCAACATGTGTATCAGAATAAGAGCACAGCTCATATAATGACAGAAATCACCAGGCCTACCCAAGCTCTAATAATAATCTTAATCTTCTATGATTTATGCTCTTTGTCATAAGTGGTCTTTAAAATTTTTTTTTTTTAATCGGTTTTATATTTTCAAATTGTATTCTTTTAAAATCCTTTTCTTTATTTAAATTTTTTATTTCCATTTTTGAGATTGAGATTTGTCAGATGTAATTCATTTCATAAAGCGTTTTACAGATGGCATTCTCTTCCACTGGGGGGCAGACTTTCCTCTACAGCAAGGAGCAAAGAAGCATTTCTATCGGTCTGCTGGACGTTTGTAACAACAGTGTTGGGAATTTGAAAATATTTGAAATTAATATTTGGGAATAAAAAAAAAAAATAAAAAAATAAAAAAAATGGAAAATATTAAATCAGTGAACAGAAATTTTTAATTGGAAAGATTAAAATGGAAAATAGAAAATTTTGTAGAAAATAAACTAAACAAATAATGTGAAATTAAAATCAGAGAAAAACATATATACATATACACATATATATATATATATATATATATATATATATATATATATATATATATATATATATATGTGTGTATATAGATGAAGATTAACACTGTAATTATATATATATTTTTCCAGGTTTGTTTCAAAAATCTGACCTGCATGAGGACAGCAGGTCCCAGGTATTTGTCTCCATTCCACCAGTAGCTGGGACAGCTGGTGCTGCAGCAGGCGCAGAGGATGCACTCATACAAGCCGTCCTGTGGAGTTAAACACAAGTCAGACACAGCCTCCATCTTTGTGGTTCTTTAATGTTATATATTTGGTCTACATAAACAAGGAGATGAAAGTCACGGATTTATTTATTTACCAGTTTCTGCCTGTCTTCCATGGACTGGAAATACTGCGTCTTTCCCTCCTGGCTCTCATCCTTCTTCTTCAGGTACGGCTCGATGGATTTGTACTGTGCGTAAAAGTTGCTCATATCCTGGTCGGGGATAAAGATCGGAAAACCCACTTGATTTCCAGAAATGCTCTGATGTTTCTGAAATCTGCTATAGCTTTAAAACAAAATGAGTAAAACTGCTGTACTCACAGGTACCAGATCCTTGACGACATACATGTGAGGCAGTGGGTAGATTTTGGTGGGTTTGCTAGTGTTCACATCGATTTTATTAAGGCACGCCAGCGTGTTTCCTCCGTTGATGTTCATGGCACAGGAGCCACAGATACCTGGAGAAAGATGGAGAAGATCAGTCTGCCAGGAAGTCACGTTTATCTCGTTATCCTGGTTGAAACTAATATATCAGCAACAATTCCTACCTTCACGGCAGGAACGTCTGAATGTGAGCGTGGGGTCCATTTCGTTCTTGATCTTAATGAGTGCATCCAGAATCATTGGACCACAACTGGATTTAAAAAAAGACCAACAGAGTTAGAAAACAACATCTCCAATGATGTGCATAACAGTTAGACCAACATCGCTTCTGTTCATTGATGCAGTGAAGACGTACGTGTTTAGATCCACTTCATACGTCTGCATTCGGGGTTTGTCTCCGGGGGTATCTGGATCCCAGCGGTAGACCTGGAACTTCTTGATCCTGGGTTCTGGAGCCGGAGCGGCAGCAGTCTGAGCGTAGCGCACCATCTGGCTCAGACAAAGAGATCACAATTTACAGTCTGTGTCAGTCACTGGAGAAGCAAAGTAAATTGTCTTTTATTAAAGCCCTGGTAGATATATATATATATATATATATATATATATATATATATATATATATAAATAAAATAGTGCAGCCCTGTTAAGATGAATTTAACTAAAAGGTGTCAAATTTGTACTTGATGGTTCTTTTTATGGTTGGCCAGGGTGTTTAGAAACTCAATATTAGAAATTCAAGATGTTCGATCCCTAGAGCATTAATACAATATGACACATAAAAACATTTTCTATTAGAAAAATAACTAACAGCAACTGTGTGATTTGTAAAATCAAAAATAAGATTGAGCTTTTGCTAACAAACATTTTAATTAGTGTGAAAAATAGGGATAAACATGTGGAAAAGTATATAATATGGTGGATGATCTGTGATGCTGCAGGCCTCATTAGCTTTTAAAGGCACTGGGTAGCATATCAAAGTCGAAAAAGGGAATCTAAAGCTCTGTTTAACTCCAACTCAACTGAAAATTGGTTTTCATTGGATTCTTCATTGAGAAACGTATCCAAACGTAACTCCAAATCCATTCCAGTTGATATAAAATCCACCTTTTTTCATGGTCATCTTAGATCCAAAATAATTCTTATAGAGAAAGTGGGGTGAAGGGAGCTGAAGAGGAGAAACAAGACTGAGGACACGAGTGGCTCACTATTTCTATGCTCCAACCAATTTTTCTAAAAAGAAAATGTATACAAATTGCTCTTTTCTTTAAGTCATATCTTCTTAGTTTATTTAAAGAGCTTCGTTTTAAATGCTCATATCAGTGCTATGATTGTAATATTTCATTGTGTGTTTTTTTCTATTTGGTGTAGTTTTATGCTTTTTATTTGATTAATTGATGAAAATATCTGTATGAATGAAGATAAAGTGAGTAAATATAACACAAACATAAGTTTTACCCTGTTAGTAAATTCACAATGACAATTATTTATCATCAGGGATTTTTTTTTTAGATGTCTTAAGTTAAAAGTTTTTGTTTTCTTGGCATCATGCTGCAGTGAAAAAAGATTCAATTATGTAAGGCTTTTATAACATTTCTACCAGGTGTGTCAAAACATTTAGAGGGCATCATATGGGAGCTTACATAAAAGGCCTCTTTCTGGTCTTGTTTCATAAATGACTAATTGCTGTATACTGAGAGTCTAGTTGTGTTGTAGTTAATAGATTGGAATTAGAATAACTTGGATTTTTATATGAAAGTAATCCCACAAAGTAAAATAATAAATTCCTAGATTTGAATAACAGTTATTTCAGGAAATAAAAAAAGAAGACAGAAGTGTTATATTAATATTAATGTTTGGATTCTTCACTAAAGCTCAATTTCCAAGTAAGGAGTCTCCCCCTAGTGGCCTTTGGGTGTACTGACCAGAAAGAGTTACATCACAGCTTTTCTTTGGTTACCTAACTGACTTCTTCAGGACAATTGAAAATAATAGAACAACAAATCCCTTATTGTTTTACTTCTTTTACGAACACAGGTTTCCATTTATGTTTTTTATAACCAATTTTAAACAAATCTATCAAACTACAGCTTCAACGAGAGGAGGATATAAACAAGTCACTTCTAATACAATTAAAAGTACCAGATAAAGATAAAAGCAGCTTTATTCGGTGTCATTCTTTGATATAACCGATTATATCAACTAATAAACCAATCTAATCAGATATTTGTTAGATATCGATGGACCTGCTGTAGTCTGACAGCAACCAGACGCCTGTTTGAGTTTGATAATTAAGATATTTTAGTGACTTTCTGTCTGACGCAAGCTATCATTGAAAAAACCTGTACAACCATCAGTGAGAAACATTTCTGTCAAAGAAGAAATATGTGGTTTAATCCAAAGTAAGGTCAAATAAAGATAAAGACTGCTTTTTACTCACCACCATCACACCAGAATTCCTGAAGCCCAAAACATTTCTGCTTAAGCAAACCAAGGCCATCTTTGCTAGCGGGATGGATTAACAATAATTAACAGATATAACAGTTATAACTGCTATAAGTATTTGTCCTTAGCGGCAGTGAAAGCAGCCTGTATCTGAGCTGTTCGCCGAAGCCGCGCCCGCTTTGTCACGACACGTACAGGCTACGTCACTGACGTTGCGTTCAAGTGTAGCATCTTTGCTCGGTCATCAGAACTATTCAACGCCTACTTTAGAGATATTTTATACAAAAACTATGTCCGGTGTAGGTACTTCACCAATTAACTTTGCTTACATAAACACATTCTCTCTTGCTTTAACCTTATCGCTAAGGAAGGTCTTTTTTTAATAATCTAAACCAAATTAAATTGGCTAGAATTTCCCACATAAATTGAAGGCGTCACATGAATGCGGCTATTTCACAACTCTCATTGCTGTAACGAGGGTCAGTTACATACATCTTTACATAGGCGTTCAGGACAACGTGTGATGTTATCTATGTGGGATTTATGATTCCTTGAACGTCAGTGGCCTTCATCTAGAGGTGACTCTAGTAATGGCTGCAGAAAGCAGGAATAAAATCTAAACAAACAGAAAAATAAAAGACTAAAAGCTCCTTATTCAATTCAAATGAAGTATAGTCGACAGCTTAAATTACTTTGACTAAATACATTTTGAGCCTACTATTTTTTTTTCTGTATGTTTTGAATGGGATGTCTGTCGTTTGAATATAAAAAAAAAAACAATAAAAAGACTTTGATTATTATTATAAAATTACTTAGATTAAATCTAAATCTATATATTAGGTCATTGACTTTCAAAAGATTGCATCAAGTGGTTGACTTGTAACAAATTGCATTGAATCAATACCCTGCAGCAGATTGCTTTAAATTATGGACTAGCAGCAGATTGCTGTTAGTCTGAGAGTAGTAGCTGGTTAATAAGAGTCAGTGACTAATAGCAGATTGCCAGGTGTCATTTTGAGCTTAACTGTGGTATTAATAATTTACAGTACTGTCCTTGATTTATTCTGGTTTTGACAAACTTAACTACTTTTAAAGAAACCAATATATATTTCATCCATCAATTTTCTAACACGCTTAGTCCCAAATCTGGTCGCGAGGGGTGCTGGTGCCTATCTCCAGCTGTCAATGGCAGAGAGGCAGGGTACACCCTGGACAGGTTGCCAGTCCGCCAGTCCATCACATCTCACACCTAAGGGGACTTTAGAGAAGCCAATTAACCTAACAGTCATGTTTTTGGAGTGAGTACCCAGAGAGAACCCACATATGCTCAGGGAGAACATGCAAACTCCATGCAGAAAGACCCCAGGCCAGGAATTGAACCCAGGACCTTCATGCTGCAAGGCAGCAGTTCCACAGCCTGATAAATATATCAATGTAGGATAATGTAACTGAATATAACAAGCTGAATTTGTTATTTATTAAGGGATATAACCAATCTCCAAACCAAACCGGTCTTGTAAGGATATATAATTTCTTCCTGCTGCTTAAACCATAAGCCCCAATTTTTGGTCATTTTTTACTAACTAACAGATTCCCCATGGTATATATTTAACAAAAATAACTGGTTATTCTATCAGAAAGTCCTGTAACATTTACCTAGCTGGACTCAGGGCAAAATGGCTTTCTGGACATGAAAGTTTGCAGACAACTTGTGGTTGTTGCTTGTGAGAAGCTACACGGGAGGAATTATTTTACAAAACAAATTTTTTCAAAGATATTTAAATTTCATTAAAGTGATGATTTGTGACTTATACTTGTATGAAGTAATTTAATGATATAACTGATCTAATGATATAAAGCCGACAAAGGTGTTATGTTGCTTGAATCTTTTTAAAATTTGCAAACGGATAATTTAATTTTTGTGGTATTTCTTTGGTGAGACACTTGAAATCCATCTCACTTTCACACACACACAAACCCCTCTTTAGAAACACAAAAACACCCCCAGCAAGCTGCATTTACTGTGAATACTGCAGTTTCCTTCTGAGGATGTTGTTGGCACCTATAACTTTTTTTGAAAAGTTTAAAGGTCCTTGTGTTTTTCCCAAAGGTGTTAACTATGTGCACTTATTTTCCTTTAAAATATGCATTTCTCTACATTCTAAATCAAATGTTGCCACAATAACTCTCTCATCATGACAGAAAAAACAAATATTTATTCTTATACACATCTTCCATTTAGGTCAGTCTGTTTAATTTCAGTCTCATCTGACCAGAGCACCTTCCTCCACATGAGGTTCCATCAGGGGCGGAGCTAGATGGGGGGCCAGAGGTGCCCATGGCCACCCTTAGCCAATCATTGGCCAACCCTGTGGCAACCCCTACCATTTTTTTCGCCCTCTAATACAGACGGTGGCTGCAGTAATACTATCAAGAGGAATGTTTTTAAACTTATTAAACATTTTAATTTTTCATATATTAATGGTTACTTGGCAACTAAAACGCTGTGGTTAATTATGCACATCAAAATACTAACATTAAATTTGATATATACAAAATGCATGCTCTTTTAAGACTCTAGTTTTGTGTTATATGGGGTAAAGAGAAAATTATGTACCTGCAAGTCATCAAGGAGTTTTCGTTGAAATCATAGATGAATAACTTTAATAATAACTTAGAAATCCATTTAATGTAGATATTAGTACATGTAATATTAATGTAATGCAGAACTATTTTTGATAAAAGTAGGTAAGTAACAAGGGAAAAGATGTTTGCCCCAGACATTTGTCCACTATACCTTTTCTTTAGACAGCATGGATGTTTAAATATATGCATCTATTTGTAATCAAAAGGCTGCATAAAGGTATAATTTGACTTTATTTAGAAAATATGAATGTTGTGCTCGTTCCTGTTGGAACAGTGTAGATGGACCCTGAGGTTCTGGCGCCTATCCGTATTCGGCAACCCCTCAGTTTACATTGGTTTTTGACTGGCCACCCCTATTAAAATTTTTGGCTACGCCTCTGGGTTTCATTAACATTCTCTGTACTGTCTTTGAAATATTGACCCCAGAATGTCTCAAAGCCTAACCAGATGTGGTATGCGAAGCAGATCCTCTGTTACTTTAGTATCCAATCAAATTAAAGCCTGCAGGAGGATGTGAGGTAGCAAGTTCATTCTCTTTGATGTTCTCCTGATTGCCTGCGGCATGAAGTTGTTCCTACATGATACACTCCTGCAGGAGGGAGTTCAGCTGCTGTGCCAAGTGCATTTTGATTATGTGTTGTTAAAATTATTTTTCCTTTCCAAAACATTGAAAATTGATCAAGTTAGAGCACTCCTCTCCAGTATCTGACAACAGGACTTCTAAAGGAAGCATTTTTTTACTTACAGCTCAAAGGTTCCCCTTTTTGTCTAACTCAGCGGACAAAATATAATGTAATTTATTTAGTTTTTATACCAAACAGGGTGTAAATGTGGAATGGAACAAATAATACTTGACTTTGACTAGGCCATTGTAACATATTATACTGCTGTGTCAGATTTAAAGCCAAATTCAGATTCATGAAAAGCATCAACATCGTTGTCTAAGGATTTAAACTTTTATTGTCAAGTAACTCAGCTAAAAAAATATCACTGATATCTTATTACATGAGACTGAATACATTGAGTTAACTGTTAAGGAAAAGACTGCATATTTATATAAATCTGTGTCCCATGTGAGGAGATGCTAAGCATTCTTTTAACATCCAGGCAATGCTGCTCTCGTTGAGTTAATTAATGGCTCAAAAGAAAGCGTTGGTCTCTAGAGACGGCTTCTCCAGCTCAGGTTGCACAGTTGTGTATATAAATCGTTCAATACTGTAGCCACATTGGTTTCCGAGTTATCCTGGTTGCTTTAATGAAAAGTAGTTTCAGTACCAAGAGACACTGAACAGAGTGCTTTAGTTGGTTTGAATTGGAAGGTGTGAGGACGGATTATTTTGCAGAATCAATACAGGTTTATGCTTATGTTTTTTCCTTTTTAACAGATTTATTCTGTTGCGATGCATAAGCACAGCAGGTCCAGGTGGAAAATATCCAAAAACAAAGGGTGTTTTGATTGATTTTTAAAATGGTATACAGAAAACTGTATGTAGTGTTAGGCATCCTCAGGAGTCAAAGTAAGGATGAGTCTAACACACAGATTGGGATAAATTGGAAATGGGATTGTAGGTTAAGGTGCCACCAAACCTAAGTGCAGATGCTAACTTAATGTGATATGTATCCAAAATGTCATCTAAAAATATATTTATATATTTTTTCTGCATTTTTTATTACAAATGCATCATATACAAAGGAGGTTTCCATTTGCTTTGTTGATTAATAGACACATCATAGCTAACTTAGCCCCCCTACATATAGCAACATTTTATGGAGGAGAGGTAGATGAACCTTGATACCACAGGATTAAACCCACCTTCCAGAAAGATGACCCTCCCCCCAAAAAATATATTAGAAATAAATAAAAAATAATGATGCTATAGTAATGTTAGGTGAAAGCACAACTCTTGGAATCTTCATTATGCACAGAAAATGTGTTTCTTTATCATTAAAAGATTATGCCCCCCCCCCTTCCACAAAGTGGTTTTGTCTCCATGTCTTTGAGTTAAAAATAATCAATCCTAGCACCCAATAGATTAGTGATTTTTAAGGATCTGTAATTTACTGAGTAATTTTACATATCAAGACTATTAAATTTAGAGACGTTAATTAAAATGTGACTGAAATTTTAATCAAAGGATTTTTTTAAATGTAGAATCAGGTTTTTTGAGCATACCTGTTTTAATTCAGACATAATAATTGCTTTTATTTCTGTAGAGGTGTAAGAAAGTTACTCATACTGCTACATTTCATTTTGAATATTGTCTTAAAAACTGATCAATCCAAGCTAAACCATTCTGCGCAATTGTCGTGTAGGGAAATGTATTTGTTTTGCTTGTAATTTATTTTGACACAAGCTCTTTAGTTGTTGATTTTTTGATACCATGGGGATACCAGGGGAAATCCTACCTCCATTGTTTTTACTCCAGTAAAGTAAAGGGACCAACAAAAAACAGTTTGCCTTGCTTCATTTTTATGTAAAACAAAAAAATTGTATTTTTACTTTGCCAGTAATTGTGACGACCTTCCTGACTTCTACTTTTGTTATCAATTTTTACTTTTACGAAAGTAACTTTTCTATTAAGGTACTTTTGCTTTTTCTTAGTTATTTTTTAGGTACCTTATTCACCTCTGCCAACATGTGAAGCTGTCTGTAGCTCCACGTGTTGAAATTAAATTAAATTCACTTTATTTCTGTAGCGCCAAGTCACAACACATGTTATCTCACAGCACTTTACAGTTCACAAGACCATCCGGTCAAATTTATTTAAAGTTTTCTATCTAAGGAAAATCAGTTGATTGCATCGACTCATTGACTCAAATACAATCCCTCACACTAAGCATGCTTGTAGAGACAGTGGAGAGGAAAAACTCCCTTTTAACAGGAAGAAACCTCCAGCAGAACCAGATGATGATGAAACATGACATTTGAAAAGAGACATTTCTTTCACTTCGTCTAAAATCAGCATGCTGGTTAAGCTCATAGCCTAGTTCAAGGTGGTTAATAAGTTCAAACAAGTATGTTTTATAGAAGCAGTGACATAGGGCAAAGGAGAGCAAGAGAATGAGAGGAATACAAGAGAGAAAATTTAGAGCGAACTTAAGACTTAGATGAAAAATAGATGAGAGAAAAGAGAAAAGGGTGTAAAGACAGCAGATTTTAAAAAAAATGTCAGATTAAAGCCTAATAACTGGAATTTTAGATTTGTCATTATTTTCTAGATTTGTATGATCCAAAAAAAGTCATAACAGTAACTATATTTTCCTCTATGTTCTTTAGTCGTGAAATTTTTTAAAAACTGTCAAAAACATCTTGTTTTCCACTTATCTGTCCAGTGTTTAAATCTTATATATGCAGGGTTGAATTGCAGGAAGCAGAGTACACCCCTTACAGGTTGTAAGTCCTTCACATGATTCTGCTGCAGGTCCAGCAGATTCCGAAACAGCTTCTTCCCCACCACCATCAGACTGCTGAATGTTGTGAAAACTCTTAATCATGACACTGACTCCAGATCAAACTGATAATTCCAATCCAAAATTCTGCATATTTGCACCATAAATATTTAATGCTCTGAATTTCCATATCAATCCTTTTTTTTTTTTATTTTTTTTTTTTGCACCATGATTTTTTTTCTCCCACATCATTGACATGTGATCACTGCTGCACTTTAAGGAATTTGAAATGTTATGAAAGCTGTACAAAACGAAATTTTGTTTTGTACACACTGTATATACAAAACGACAATAAAGGTTGTCTAACTCATACAGGTGGAATAACACAATCAAACATCAGGGGTCACTGTTGTGCTTCAATGGCACTTTTAATAAAACAGACATTTCATCCTCACAACAGCAATGTCTGGACAGAGAGGGGGAGGGCAGCAAGGAGGGGGCGACTGGGCGAGGGTTCCCTCTGCTGATAGGCTGGTTGTTCCTGGTGAGTGACTCGATTGGATAAAGAAAACTCAATTTGAAAACATGACTCCATAAAAAACTAAAAGTATATGTTTTTGCTATAGGATTAACTTGAACTTTACAACACTTTATAATGTTGCAATTGTAAACTTTAATGATTTTACTGGGATGTTTTTGTGTGTGTGATTAAGCACAAAAAAACAGGAGATCTCTACATGCAGATCTACAGGAGATCTCTACATGGGGTGTTCAATTTTAGTCCTCGCAGACTTTTAGATGCTTCCCTTGTCCAACACACCTGAATCAAATGGCTGAATCACCTCAGTATGCAGTTACGCTCTCTGCTAATGATCTGGTTGTTTGACTCAGGTGTGTTACTGCAAAAAATTCTCTAAAATTTGCAGGACTGCTCTAAAACATATTATCAAAACTTTGACCTAAAATGGAAGCACATTCATGTGTCAAAGGGACCTAGTCAAACCCTAGACCTATATTCAATTGGAAAATGAAAAAGCGATATTCATAGATGGTCTCATAAAAAATTCAGTCCCCATATTTGCAAAGCTGATAATAAAAAATATTAAACCAGATGAAAGCTAAGTACCCGTCCTTTGTTCTTACTGCAGGTCATTCCTCTGTCACAAGAATTTTGACAGATTTTACAGAGAAAGAATAAAAAAAAAAACCTTTGCAAACCATGGGTAATCTTTCTTTCTACTTCACAATTGTGTTGGTATATCACATAAAATCCCAGCAAATTACATTAAAGTTTGTTGTAATGTAATAAAAGGTGTAAAAAACTTAAGAGGTGAGAATACTTTTGCAGATCCGTGTATAAGTTGACTGAGTTTTCATTTATGTTTGGCGTTTATGTCTTAACGAGTGTCAACTGAATGAATGAGAATTTAGCAGAGGGAAATCTGACCGCAGCCACACACCCCCTCCTCCCTCTCATGTTATTTACAGGAAAAATTAATACATTCAGTTATTTCACTAGGTAACAAAGCTAATTAATCAGTGTTTTTAGCAGAAATCACATTTTTTCACATCCCGTTTTCACACAGCCTCCCTTTCCTTTATCTTTTTTCATCTACGTTTTACTCAAACTGACTTTGTTCAGTTTTTCTACCAAGAAGCGACTCACACAAAAATCTCCCAACCGGACACACCCCCGTCTGTTAAATCCCCTTATTTTTACCTATTTACAGAAGCAGCAGTCTAACCGTCACAAAAAACCCACCCACCCACCTGTTGCATTCGCCCCACCCTACAACAATAAAGTCCAACCTGAAAGAAGGAAAAAAAATACCCCATCTCACCCCCCATACATTTTTACCCTGTTCTAAAAGAGCATGCCAAGTTTAACAATGAACACAGAAAATGTCTCTATACAGAAAAAACACTCTTAAAATTGTTTTCTTCCTCCCACAGTGGTGGACACAGACTTAAGACAAGGTTTTTTTAGTGGGAAGAAAGAAAAATCTCATTCCGGGAATTTTTTTTAAGTGCTGAGACAGGTTTAGGATCAAAAGAAAGTCCTGTTCAGAGGCTGAAAGAGGGCCACGCTATGAACAGAGGGAGGGCAGTTTTACAGGCCTCTGAGGCAACGTTTGGCCGGGGGAACGAGTGAAGGTGTTTTAGAAGGTACAAGGTGGTTTAAGGGGGGAAAGTCTAAGTTTTAATTCTCATTTCCTTTCGTTTTTAAATCGATTTTTAGAGTCAGAGGTGTCGAGGGCTTGGGTGGCCGTTGTGGTAGAGCTTCTGCTTGATGTGGACCATGTTACCGCTGGAGTCCTCCAGCTGTCTGAGCTGGGCTCGGCGACGGAGGTCTCTGAGGTTGCAGAACTGGGGCAACCATGACCAGGATGGAGTATCTGAAGGGAGGAGACCAGAAAACACATTAATAAGCATCAATTCATGAAATAACTTGTTTTTACCCCAGAATCGCAGTTATATTTTGCATCTCCTTACGAGTGATGGTTTTGATCATCGTTTTGGCTTTTGCAGCCTTTACAATAAAGAGAAGAAGCTAAAACATGTCTTCAAACACCATCATCTGTATTTGTTTGTTGTGTGAAAAGGTAATCCCTTCTTTGATCACTTATGAAAAGAGTCTGAGCCAATCATTTAGCTACACATCAAAAAGTTCCAACGAGTATTTCACAGGGATGTAAGAAATCTGTGATAGAAAAAGACTTTTCCGGTGACTGCCTGGAAAAGAAAAATACTTCAAATGTGACCATAAAGCAATTATTTTCAATTAATTTCTGTTTATTTACAAGGTGCCAATTCAGAACATGTCATCTTAAGACAATCTGAATGGTCTACTGCCTCGACCAACACTCATAGACTATTAATAAGAGGTCAGCCATAACTCTGAGGAATAAGGTCCATTAAAATGGAAGACATGTTAAAGACTTGTCCCAACATGTCATACTTTTCATTCTAGTTAGACAAGGAGAAAGAGACAAAACAGACGATAACAGGAAGGATAAAGGGAGGACAGCTTTTGGACATCATACACCTGAGGTTTAAACTGGTTTATCTTAAGTTACTGAGTCAGCTTTAGATAATGGCAAGCAGCAAAGGAGGAGATTTTCTTTTAAATTTAGGAAAAACAATGGCCAAGATTCTGGACTGGATAAGTGTGGGTTTCCCCTCACCAGATCAAAGGGGAATTCCTGATTCAAGTGAGAAGTTCAAGACAGATGTCCTGCATAATTCTGAGTATACTGACCAGCCTACTCTCTCCTATGGTTCTGATATCTAGATCGTGATTGTAGGGTTGTAGCCAAGACCACAATAAGTCCAAAATGTATCGAGACAAGGCCAGGACCTTTAGAAGCTAAGACCAAGACAAGAATATAACCTTTAGAAGCCAAAGACCCAGAACTTATATAGTCTTGGTCTTGGCCTCTAAAGGTCTTGGCATTGTCTTGGTACTCATCGGTCTTGGGTGGTGTGGTCTTGACTCTGTTTAAAGTTTTAGTCAACTTAAACTTAAACTGTTCTTCTTTTTTTATATTCTGGTCATGAATAGACATTAATAGTTTGTTTAAAGGTGACATTTTCAAGGGGGATTGTTAGGATAATTATCATTGATGATTTGTGAAGTTTATTACACTTTAATATTAGCTGCCTGTTGCATGTAAGAACTGATGTTTTCGCAAGTAGTTTATCTAATTAAGACAGTTCCTCTGTCCGGATCCACAGTTATAATCTTCATTCTGTACATGGCAGGGATTTGGGAATGGAATGAGAGCGGTGTCCTTCAGCTAAGCACAAAGTGTAATATTTTGATAAGGCTGGAGCCATGGATTTCTACTCATCTGCAAATGTGTATGATTTAACGATGTGATGAGGTTGCAGACTGAGGTATAAAATGCTTCTCTACCTGTTTGTCAGGGCTACTTCCCATGAAGTGAGCCCGGCTGGTAAGCAGCTGCCTTCTGTAACCCTAAGCAACTTCTCTGATCTGAGTCAAGATTACAATTTTTATCAAAATTTGCTGTCATATCTCATGGTTATTTAATACATATATGTTATGAAGTGTTATTTATACATACTTCATAACTTATATGTATACATCTGCTTGTATACATCCTATATACATCCCCAGTCGGCCTCGGCAGATGGTCGCTCACACTGAGCCTGGTTCTGCTGGCGGTTTCCTCCTGTTAAAAGGGAGTTTTTCCTCTCCATTGTCGCTACAAGCATGCTTAGTGTGAGGGATTGCATTTGAGTCAATGAGTCGATGCAATCAACTGGTTTTCCTTATAGAAAAATAGAAAAATTTGAATCAATTTGACTGTGTGATTTGGTTGAACTGTAAAGTGCCTTGAGATGACTGATATACGAGCAACTGAAATTTGGTTTTTCCATAGGATGGTTAGGTACTTCCTGACAGTAGGGACTGTAAAGTTGATCTCTAATCTCTCAGAGAGAGAGGGAGGGATGATAAGCAGCAAAGGTCTCTGGGTCAAGAACCAAGGACGACTACATCCAGGACTGAAGCCTCTGTAGACGTGTTGAGGGCTCTATCCTCGCCATGTGCCACGCTCAGGAGTTCATCTTTTTTCTCACTTCATTATTAGATGTAAATAAAAGGGTAAGTTCTAAGCTTTTGCTGCACCCAGAGAGTAAGAGACGCTGTTTTGTAGAGCAAAAAGACAGAGGAGGGATAAAAAGACTGCCAATATCAAATAAATTGCCAACTGGCCTTGACCTTTCCCATCACTTTTTACAATATAAGCAGCACTTTTCAAACTAAAGCGAAGATATCTCCCCCTTTCTGATCTATTAACCATCAAACCATGTAGTGTTTGTGGGGGGTGCAATATAGGGCGGGTGAGGAGGCAGAGCATAGATTCATGCTTGTCAGGTTATAAACTGGAGCCGGTGAGGCAAAGGGAGTTCTGTAGAGACGACAGGGAGAGCCCCAGACAGCAAGTCTGGTAAAAAATGGCTGTGCCTGAGGATGTGCAAGAGAGGGGTGGGGTGGTAGGGGTGTTGCCAGCAAGAGAAGGGGTGAGGAGGAAAAGACAGAGAGACAGAGAGAGAGAGGAGAGGGAAGTTATTTATAGCTGTGAATGGTGTGCTGTCCACAAGGACTGCTCTGAAGGGTATCCAAAGGAAAGGGGGCAACATAGGCAGGTTTTTCTCATTTCAATAAAAGGATGAAGTCCGGAGGAATAATAATGCAAGAAAGGAAAGGCAGAGCAAAGATGCAATTGTTCTGCTGCTTTAGAGCACGGAGGTGGGGGACGTTAATGCCAAGAGCCAAGTCATCATATTCTCTCCTTTTTCGAGTCATTTCCATTCCCATGTGTCTCTCCAAAAGAGCATCTGGCATCAGATATTAACGGCAAACTGGCGATAAGGGGGGAAAAATGTTGCAGCAGGAGGCATTGTTAGGGAAATGGCCCAGGAGTAGATTCAATAAATGAGCAAAGAGGGAGGAGTTTGAGATGGAAAAAAAAATGGAAATCATTGTGCATTTCAATGCACTGTGTATATGTGTGTGTGTTCCTCACTTGTAATTCCAGCTGCTCTCCTGTTCTATTTATAGCACCACATACGAGAAAGCGTGTGTGTAGGTGTGTGTTTATGTGTGTATGGTGGTGGAGATTTGACATCATCTTCATCCTTCCTCCTCACACACTCTCTTCTATTCCTTCACTCTCATCTTCTCTCCTCATCTCAGGGAGGCTAAAAGTGTTTGACCTTATAGCACTAAAGTCACAGCAACACGCACCAACAAACACATACATAGACTCAGAAAGCAAAGGGCTTTCCTTCCCAGTACAAAAAAATTATTTCTTCTTTAAGTCTTTTAAGCTTCAAAAATAATGGAACTTTATTTTACAGTGACACCACCTCTGCTCCCAATATGAATTGATAGTATCCATGATAGGATGGCTAGAGAAAAAGAACTATTTGAATGCGGTTCTTAGTGAAATCTAATCAGCTCAAATACTAAATAGAATAGAATTCAACTTTATTGTCATTCCACTGTCACAAGTACAGAGCAACGAAATGAATTCTCTGCATTTAACCCATCCCCTTGGGGAGCAGTCGGCTGCCAGTGTGCGGCGCCCGAGGAGCAGTGTGGGGTTAAGGGTCTTGCTCAGGCACCCAGAGTGGCAGTCTGTGGGAGTGGGGGATCGAATTCATAACCTCAGGATTCAAAGCCCTATGCTGACCACTAGGGCGCCACTAGTGGCCTACATTATTTAAATGTAAATAAAATAAATATAAAAATTAACTTTTTCAAATATTTTGTTTTGCAAATTGAAGTTTTGCAGATCACATTGGCTGGATCAAATCCTAAACTGGACACTAAACACTAACTCTAAGCACTTTTGCGCGTTCAACCCCAGGGTCTGGCCTGCCATGTTATAGACAGTCCCAAAGCTAGTGGGTAGGGTGAGTTGACCATTCGGCCCTTAAACAGCGATTATGCAATAGTGCAGGCTCACTGGAATTTGGCAGCGGGTGTAACTGGGACCTAATGGCCGAGGAAACACGTGCATCCAAATTTAAGTTCCGCTGGTTTGCTGACTATTTGTCACACTAAGAGAAATTACAAGTTAGGAATATGAAAAAAAAACTAACTCATTCCAAAGGGGAAGGTCCTCTTTGAAATAGTTTTATTTAACCGTATACATTTGTTTTACGAAAGGTGCAAATGTTGGACGTTATTTCACCCTATAGCCATGCACATGGGGCATCACAGTGTTGCCATAGCAACCACTGGTTTCCCTTGGAGGGAAGAGGCGGCCCCTTTCTCGTTTATACCCCATCCCCCACCACCACCACCTTCAATCAAGGCGCCTTATACAGCTGCAAGTGTGACTTCATTGGGAGTGACACTGGGTACTTTAGGGGTTAGTGGTTAGGGGGAAAGGATAAGGAAAGCAGTCGTTCCTATGGCAACACAGTGACGCTGCATGAGTGTGGCTGCAGCTCTATGACGCAGGTTAACATAACATCTCATTTTGACCCTTTTCTGAAAGTAAATGTGTGCAGTCTATTGTGGGCTATTACAAAGAGGTCCTCCCCTTTAGGAATTAATGGACGTCTTTTTAATTTTTTTTAACTTGTGATTTTCTGCCATTGTGAGAAAGATGCAGCAAACCGGTGGAACTTACATTTAAATACAGGTGTTTCCTCCACCAGCAGGCTGCTGTTACGCCTGCTGCCAAATTCCAGTGAGTCTGCACTGATGCAGACTCACTATTTAAGGGCTGCACGGTCCACTCGCCCTACCCGCTATGTGGTTTGGGACTGCCCTTAGTGTGGTGGACCCTCCTCAGGGATGCGTAAAAAGATGGTTAGTGCTCAAGGTTGGTGTTTGGGGGCTACTTTGGGATTG